TTGTTATTGTTATTGTATTGTTATTGTTATTGTTATTGTTATTGTTATTGTTATTATTGTTATTGTTATTGTTATTGTTATTGTTATTGTTATTGTTATTGTTATTGTTATTGTTATTGTTATTGTTATTGTTATTGTTATTGTTATTGTTATTGTTATTGTTATTGTTATTGTTATTGTTATTGTTATTGTTATTGTTATTGTTATTGTTATTGTTATTGTTATTGTTATTGTTATTGTTATTGTTATTGTTATTGTTATGTATTGTTATTGTTATTGTTATTGTTATTGTTATTGTTATTGTTATTGTTATTGTTATTGTTATTGTTATTGTTATTGTTATTGTTATTGTTATTGTTATTGTTATTGTTATTGTTATTGTTATTGTTATTGTTATTGTTATTGTTATTGTTATTGTTATTGTTATTGTTATTGTTATTGTTATTGTTATTGTTATTGTTATTGTTATTGTTATTGTTATTGTTATTGTTATTGTTATTGTTATTGTTATTGTTATTGTTATTGTTATTGTTATTGTTATTGTTATTGTTATTGTTATTGTTATTGTTATTGTTATTGTTATTGTTATTGTTATTGTTATTGTTATTGTTATTGTTATTGTTATTGTTATTGTTATTGTTATTGTTATTGTTATTGTTATTGTTATTGTTATTGTTATTGTTATTGTTATTATATTTATTGTTATTGTTATTGTTATTGTTATTGTTATTGTTATTGTTATATGTTATTGTTATTGTTATTGTTATTGTTATTGTTATTGTTATTGTTATTGTTATTGTTATTGTTATTGTTATTGTTATTGTTATTGTTATTGTTATTGTTATTGTTTTTGTTATTGTTATTGTTATTGTTATTGTTATTGTTATTGTTATATGTTATTGTTACTTACAGACAATAACAATAACAGATAACAATAATACAATAACAATAACAATAACAATAACAATTATAACAATTAACAATAACAATAACAATTAACAATAACAATAACAATAACAATAACAATAACAATAAACAATAACAATAACAATTAACAATAACAATAACAATAACAATAACAATAACAATAACAATAACATAATACAATAACTTATTGTTATTGTTATTGTTATTGTTATTGTTATTGTTCATACAATTAACAATAACAATAACAATAAACAATAACAATAACAATAACAGATACATTAACAATAAACAATAAGCAAATAACATACATAACAATAACAATAAAATAACAATAACAATAACAATAACAATAACAATAACAATAACAATAACAATAACAATAACAATAACAATATACAATAACAATAACAATAACATTAACAAATAACAATAACAATTAACAATAAACAATAACAATAACAATAACAATAACAATAACAATAACAATTAAACAATAACAATAACAATAACAATAACAATAACATTAACAATAACAATAACAAGTAACGATAACAATAACAATAACAATAACTATTGTATATTGTTACATTACTATAGACATACATTGTTATTGTTATTGTTAATTGTTATTGTAACAATTAACAATAACAATAACAATAACAATAACAATTAACAATAACAATAACAATAACAATAACAATATACAATAACAATAACAATAACAATAACAATAACAATAACAATAACAATAACAATAACAATAACAATAGTTATTGACAATAACAATAACAATAACAATAACAATAACAATAACAATATAACAATAACAATAACAATAACAATAACAATAACAATAACAATAACAATAACAATAACAATATATCAATAACAATAACAATAACAATAGACAATAACAATAACAATAACAATAACAATAACAATAACAATAACAATATAATGTTATTGTTATTGACAATAACATAGATAATATAACAATAACAATAACAATAACAATTAACAATAACAATTAACAATAACAATAACAATTAACATATAACAATATAACAATAACATAACAATAACAATAACAATAACAATAACAATAACAATAAACAGATAACAATAAACATAATAACAATAACAATACAATAACAATAACAATAACAATAACAATAACAATAACAATAACAATTACAAATAACAATAACAATAAACAATAACAATAACATAACATTATCAATAGACTATAGACAATAACAATAACAATAACAATAACAATATCAATAACAAGAACAATATTACAATAACATCATAACAATAACAATAACAATAACAATAACAATAACAATAACAATAAACAATAACAATAACTATACAATAACTATAACAATAACAATAACAGATAACAATAACAATTATGTTATTGTTATTGTTATTGTAACAATAACAATAACAATAACAATAACAATTAACAATAACAATTAACAAATAACAATAACAATAACAATAACAATAACAATAACAATATAACAATAAGCAATAACAATAACAATAACAATAACAATAACAATAACAATAACAATAACAATAACAATAACAATAACAATAACAATAACAATAACAATAACAATAACAATAACAATAACAATAACAATAAACAATAACAGAAAATAACAATAACAATAACAATAACAATAACAATAACAATAACTATAGATAATAGACTATTGATAATTAACAATAACAATAACAATAACAATAACAATAAAATAACAATAACAATAACAATAACAATTAACAATAACAATAACATTAACAATAACATTGTTATTGTTATTGTTATTGTTAATAGATATTAACTATAACAATAACAATAACAATAACAATATTGTTATTGTTATTGTTATTGTTATTGTTATTGTTATTGTTATAGACAATAACAATAACAATAACAATAACTATTAATAGACTATAAGCAATAACAATAACAATACATAACAATAGTTATTGTTACATGTTATTGTTATTGTTATTGTTATTGTTATTAATAACATATAAACAATAACAATAAACATATAACAATAACAATAACAATTAACAATAACATTATAACAATTAACAATAACAATAACTATTAACATTTAAGATATTGAAACAATAACATATAACAATAACAATAACAATTAACAATAACAATAACAATAACATTAACAATTTATTGTTATTGTTATTGTACAATAACAATAACAATAACAATAACAATAACAATAACAATAAACAATAACAATAACAATACTTACTAGTTACTAGTTACTATAACAATTAAACAATAACAATAACAATTGTTATTGTTATTGTTATTGACAGATAAAACAATAACAATAACAATAACAATAACAATAACAATAACAATAACAATAACAATAACAATAAACAATAACAATAACAATAACAGATAACTAGTAACAATTATATATAGTAATAGACTATAGTTATAACAATAACAATATAACAATAACAATAACAATAACAATAACAAGATAACAATAACAATAACAATTATTGTTATTGTTATAGATATAGTAACTATATAGCTATTGTATTGTTATTGTTATTGTTATTAATAACAAGTAACAATAACAATATACATATAACAATAAACAATTGTTATATTGTTATTGTTATAGACAATAACAATTACAATAACAATAACAATAACAATAACAATAACAATAACAATAGACAATAACAATAACAATTACAATAACATAGACAATAACAATTAACAATTAACAATAACAATAACAATAACAATAACACAAAAACACTACACAATTACAAAAAAAACAAATCCATCCTTCAAACCAGCAAAACCACCCCATTTCACCACCCCAATAATAAAATTGTGTTAAATTAATTGATCATTTTCGCTTTGAAAAGGCTTAAGTAGTATGAAAAACACGAAAAAGGGTAACACTGCCACATTTTTTTTTACAGTTTATTTGAACATACTGCAATATTTACAGAAGATATTGCTATTATTGCAATTTAAGTTATCATTGCCATTATTAACCCCCTCATGAACATCATTTTATGAGGTTATTTTTGCCGTATTTTACTGAATTTAAGGGTTACTCTCCATATCTTTCATATTTTTAAAGGTAAAATTTAGAGGAATTACCGAATTGTAGATTTATATTTTTTATGTTTTAAATAATTTACATATACCTAAAAACACACTTGAAACGTATTTTAATTTCTAATAGCTAACTGCACACACAAATACAATTTAAGGTCTTACAAAATTTGACATTAAATAAACTATTCTCGTCACGATTTTTGAGTATGAAGCAAATTTTTACGATTAATACTCGTTATGACCCAGGCGTTGACTCTATTATAACAAGTATCACGTCTATGGCCGTGAGTGGGTTAATTATTTAAAATAGTGTGTAGTAATAATAATGACAGTAATAATAATTTTAATAATAATAACAGCAGTAATATTGATGGTATGAATAATAAGTTTTGTTTATATATTATATATATATACACAAGTATATTTATTATATATAGAGCTATATACATAAGTATGTTACCTATATACCTAAGTATATTTTTTTGCAGTGAATTTCAAAATTGCTTAAACATTTGAAAATCTACAAAAAAAGAGGTAGAGAACAAGGAATAAAATACAAATTATTTTTTTTTTATTTTTGTAAATTAATGTTTATCTGCCCGAACCTGCTCCTCCAATTCCTTCAAAGCAAATAGTACATATGTAGTTAAATTATTTATAGTAAAAACTTGTAAGGAAGGAAATCTTTTAATTAAAGGAAGAAACTAATTTATAGGTATTGGTTGCTTAAACATATAAGAATATTTATTTAATATGAAAAAAATAATTAAAAAAAATACTTAAAAGTAATAAGAAAAACAGAAACTATAAAGAACTAAAATAATGTTAAAAAAATGAGATTTTTTATCAAAATTCTAATAAGAAATCTGCAAAAAAGATAAAAAAAACAAGGAAACTTTTAAGGTTTTCATTAAATTCTTTTTGGAATTTATCTTCTTTTTGGTACGTATATAATTTAAATATGTATATTTATACAATATAACATATCATATACTTATTATTATTTATTTTCTATACCAGGGCTTCTTAAACTTTTTTATATAGCGACCTCCTTCAAGTTTAGAAATTTTAAACGACCCCCTCCTCCATATAATGAAATATATATTGACCGTAGATGTAGATGTAATATCGCACTATTTTACAATGTAAATAAAATAAGGATTAAAGAATACGTACCCATTCATTTCACATATATATAATTGGAAACGTTGATGGGATATCGGTCGTAATAAAACACAATAAATAGAATGACATAAAACTATATATATATATTTATTCAATAGAAAAAATAAACTTTTGTAACTTATGAATTTTACTAATACAACATCATAGTTGCGGAATTAATAAGAATGTGCTTATTACACTACTAATTTATCTTAATGGAAATTTCTTCATGCAACTGCAGAACAGATGGATGACGTAATCAAAGGAACCAGTTAAATTCAGAAAAATTCATTAAAAAAATTTTTCTCCTCGAACTGGACTCGAACCAGTGACCTACCGCTTTCTAGGCGGACGCTCTACCAACTGAGCTACAGAGGCATGAAGAAATTTCCATTAAGATAAATTAGTAGTGTAATAAGCACATTCTTATTAATTCCGCAACTATGATGTTGTATTAGTAAAATTCATAATTTAATTAGTGCAATAGGCACAATCCTATAAATATATATGTTCTTGTTATTGTGTGTTTCAATAGTAGATTGTATGTAGCAATCAATGTAAACAAAACTAATACTTAGTAATCATGTGAATTACAGTATAAGCAATGTAGAGAACATTTCGTCGGCAATTTCTTCATGCCTCTGTAGCTCAGTTGGTAGAGCGTCCGCCTAGAAAGCGGTAGGTCACTGGTTCGAGTCCAGTTCGAGGAGAAAAATTTTTTTAATGAATTTTTCTGCCTTTAACTCGTTCCTTTGATTACGTCATCCATCTGTTCTGCAGTTGCATGAAGAAATTTCCATTAAGATAAACTTTTGTAACAATTTTTTTATAAGAAAACATAAAACTATATCTATATATATCCAATAGAAAAAATAAACTTTTGTAACAATTTTTTGACCCCCTTTCAGTAGTCTCGCGACCCCCGGGAGTCGCAACCCACACTTTAAGAAGGCCTGTTCTATACAATAGTATATATTATATGTAAATATATATACATATTCGGTTAACGGCTATTGTAATTCTGACGACCAAGTTATGTAGATGCCTCTTCTATTAGGCTTTAACTATATGGACATTGTTTTCATTTATTTTTACTGAAATAAGTGTAAAAATAAAATTTTGTTTCGAGCATTTATAAGGTTCATTCTGATTCTGCCTCAGAACTGATTATATTAAAAGTCTGATTTTATGAAAAGCGCTATCATTTAAACAATCAAAAGATAATTGCCGATCAAGAATACGGACACTTACTTATTTATTGGTAGTATTACAGGTTTTTTTTGGTGAAAATATATTAAGAGATAATGGCATTCAAAAGAAATCTTCATATGGACGCATTGATACTTCTGCAAAATAAAAATTTTTTTTTGGAAATCGTTTTAGTACAACTCTGTTCGAATCGAATCGATTTAAATTAGTTTCAATTAAATTCAATAAACAATTCTTTCTCTTCACGGTTTTACTAAAGATTATTATTACAAAATAGTAGTGGAGGACATTTAACACGTGCTCTGCGGATGCACCACTCTGATGTGATAAAGAACACGGTCTTTTAGGAGGATATCACCCTGATGGATTAAACGAGCTCTCGGAGGCACCTGTGAGTGATCTGTTGGGTGGATTTAGCAGCGGGGAGAAGTTTATCTTGGAGGAATGCCGATGGGTCTTCATTGACCTAGTGCTGGGTAATAATATTGAGGGCGCCATTTTCCCCTGTCTAACTCAACTAAACGAAACATTATTAGAAAAGATCAAGCAGAAATAATATGCGCGCTAAAATCAACTAATAAAAGTTAGGAAAATTTTTAGTGTTCGTACATGACTTGGTTTTATATATTATGTAGGATAGCGATTTTTCTGTGCCTTAGTATTACACGACTCTTTTAAACAAATATAAATAAATTATAATATTATATGAATATATGAATATTTTTCATTTTTATCTATATAATTAGATAAAAAAAAATAAAATAAAAATTGAGGGAACAAACATTTATTAGAATTTTTAGGAAAGTTAGCAACAATTGGTCAAAATCTGTGCGAATTGGGTCAGCGACAGGGAGAAGCTAGCGGGCGCAGCAATAATGCGTCACAAAAGAATCAACAGTCTTCATCCAAGGCAACTCCTTTTACACGGTGAGTTAAAAGTTGTTTTATTATTATTACATAATTTTCATAAAGTTTCTTGATCAATTTCGCCTTCCTATTTCGTTATCAGAAGAAAAATATCATAAAATGATATAATCTAAAAATATAAGTATTGCTTGAATATATGCATATACATACATAAATAGAGAGGATGTTCGAGACTCAATATTTCCCAAGCAGATAATATAATAATTTCCCAAAATTCATAATATTAAATTTCACTAATCAAGTTGTCTAAATATTCTTTTTTTAATTCAAATCAATTCCCTTTTTAAAGAATTTGTGAACTTGTATAAGTAATTTGACTTGTTTTGTTAGATATAATGAAATAGATTTTTGCCTTTCCAGATTCCCAACTAAATTGTAATATCACCACCAACATAAAAAAAAGTATAAAGCCAGATATAGATCTTCTGGTGCTTCTTTATCACCTGCATAATTATTGCATCATACTGCATCCAGAACATATTTGAAAATTTGATCTTCTTCATATATAAAAAATTTTATTTTTCAGGGTAAGTTTTATATATCTCTCAGAAATATTCTTAACTGCATTTATTTGCGTTATTTTTTGGATTTTCCATAAACATCCACTTAGGCATATATGCATATATGTATATAACTGATTGAACAATATCTGATCTTTTCTATAGTTAAGGTTAAATACATTAAATATATGAGGCTACTCATTTTATGAATGCTCAGAAAGTTTTTATTGAAATTATTGTTTTGTTAATGCTGGCTTTACAATTTATGTATACAATTTTTTTCAAAAACGTTTTAATACCTTCTAATACAAAATGATAGGCTAATTTTGTTGATGAACATGAGTATTTCCAATTTAGTAAAATCGTGGATCGTTATCGAAATGATTTGCAATACTGAAAAAAATATCCCGACTTAATATACTATACCTTCAAATTTTGCTCAAATCTAACACAGGTATCTGACTGCAAAATCAAAATATGAAGAAAAGTAAGTTTCTTATTTGAAAAATTAAAATATCAAGTGAACTAAGTTTCCTATTTCAGTATAGTAATGGTATAGCTGTGTATCGATATCTATCGGTTTCAAAATAAAAAGTTTAATTGTTTAATTTTCATATTTTATTTCCATTGGACTGAGACGTTATTTTGTTTTTGGGATAATCACATAAGATCTTAGACCTTGCCAAGTACTGAATTTTTAAAGATTGGTTCAAATTAACTTTGTTCTCTATATGTCTATTTTTTTTATAAAAAAAAAAACATATTTTATATTTGTACTTTTTCTTTTAACCGATTTGTCTTGGTTTTTTTATAATTAGAGTGGTCCCGATATTTGCCTCAGAATTTAAAATGTGCTAAGCAAAACTTTGGAAAAGGATTCTTTATTCTATAGGTCAAAAAAATTGTTCATTTCATTTTATCACTGAAATTTGTGACTTAAGTAGCATCAAAGTGTTGCTTCTAAGATTATAATACTTTTCGTTGGGAATTCATCAAATAGGTGAAAATACTTTCGAATCACTAAGTACAATAATATTAAAATGCATTAATTTTTTTTGTATTGAATTAAATAAAAATATTTTTTATTTAAAAGTGATTTTTGTTTACTTTATGTATAGTATATATAGTATTTTTAAATATATAATATATCTATTAAAATTCAAAGGGGTTCGTCAAATTATAACAGTGGTATTACGTCGACACCGCCATCAGCAGTTACAACAACAACAACAGTTTGTCCACGAGCACTGACACGACATCGAAAATTCGGTCTTATTAATTTATCAACCGAATCTGTACCAGCAACTACTTCAGTTAATTCAACTGGTATATCAACTGCTACTGCAATAACAAAACAACATCATTATCAAACACAACATTCACAACAACCTTATATTCATTCACATCAATCTAATATAAATCAACAACAAAAGCAGCAACAACAACAACAAAATCATTGTCGTTATCATCATCATTCTCAATTATTATCTCAGTCATCATTTAGTTCTTCTAATATATCTTCACTGTCATCAATATCATCAGCACAGTCGGCTATATCAACTTTACCAGTATATTCGTCGTCTACTTCAGGGACTACAACGTCATCTCTAATAACACTAACTACCACAACAACATCAACAAGAGGAACAACAACTGTTACGAAAGGAATAAATTCAATACCAACAGCTACAAATAAAAATGAATTGCCAACATCATCAGTAGTATCGGAAATAATTACACCAACAATATCGACCCCAATTAAAACGAAAAATACATCAGCACAAACAGTATCATTATATTCTACTGTTGGATTAACATCAAAAATTAAGCCAACTAAATTATTACATTCAAGAAAAAGTAATATAACTAAAAACAATAATAATAGTAATAAAAATAGTAATAATAGTAATTACAATAATAATAATATTAGTAACAATAATAGGAATAATAATAATAGTAATAAGAGTAATAATAGTAATAAAAACCATAATAGTGACATTATTAATCGCAATAATAGTACCTACAATGAGAATAGTAGTAAGTCATTATTAGTGTATACAATTGATAATAGTAATAATAATATACATATTGATAAAACATTAAATAAAATTACTCCTATAAATATCCCAATATTATCTACAACGTCATTCTCATCATCCAGTACATCAACAAAAACAACTGTAATTAATATAATATCAACAGCAAAAAAATCAAATTCAGAAACGATAACAACAACAACATCAACTTCAATATCTAATAGCCTACTAAAAACACAAAAAGATCAATTAATAAGGGATAATACAGGAGTTGGTAGAAGAAAGAATAATAATAATAATAAAAGTAATAATAATAATGAAAATAATCCTAATAATATTAATAATAGAAATCGTTCAAATAAAGAAGGTATTGAAATATTTGAAAAAGAAGAGCAACCGCAAATTCAATATTTACAACAGCAACAGTTTCATATTGATGATAGTAGTATTGGCTGTACATCTAATAAGGTTTTAATTAAAAGCCCTAACAATAATAGTGATAGTCAGCCCTCAATTAGTAACGAAAACAACAAATATAAAAACAATAATAATGAAAATAATAAATATAATATTAGTTGCATTAAAAATAATAATTGCAAAAAAAATAATAATAATGATAATGGTAGTAGCAAAAGTAAAAGGAATAACAATTATGGTAATATGTGTAGTAGAACTAATAGCAATTATGAAAGCTTAGTTGAGAATGTTTATAATAATGAAAATAAAAGTACTATTCAAATAAACTCTCTTGATAATAAAAAAATTAATATAGATTTATTAAAAGAAATAAATGATCCATTCAAAAAAGCAGTAGGAAGTACAACAGTAACTACATTAGGTACCAATATATCAGTAATTGAATCATTAGCTTCAACAGCTATAACTGGAAAAATTAATGATAAAAATATAGAAGAAAATAATAATGTTAAACAACAGCAAGAAATTAATGAAAAATTGATGAATTCATCCCAACAGCGTCAACTATTTTCAAATAAAAACAAAAATAATCAATTAGAAACAATTGCTATTGCAAAAGCATTAAACGATCCAAAAATAAACGAAACAGTATCAGCCGCAACTCAAACTTCTGCAATATTGTCAACTGCATCCGCAATAGCAAAAAGTATTATTGTGGCAGAAGCAAAGGACATTACAGAAGCAGCAACAGAAACAACAATAGAAGAAGAAAAAACCGCAATAAATATAAAAAGTCTCAGTAGTAGCGTAAATAATAATAGCTTTAGCGATAATAATAACAATAATAATAATAATAATAATAATAATAATAATAATAATAATAATAATAATAATAATAATAATAATAATAATAATAATAATAATAATAATAATTATAATAATAATAGAAAATTTAATGAAAATCTGTCATTAATTGATATAAAGTCACAGCTAATAAAATCAATAAGAGGAAGTGATTCTATAAAAACTAACTTATCAACTAATTCAGCTACCAATATTATTCCTGTTGATAATAAAGATATAAATACATCATTATCAATAGAAAAATTAGCAAAATTTTCAAATATTACGGACACACAACATGTCCAAGTCAATTCAACAACAAATGTAATACCATTATCATCATCATATACTTCAAAAATCAATGAGAGTAATAATAAAAAAATAAAATCAAATCCAAATCCTCATAGTTATAAAATTAAAAAAGAAACTTTATCTTTGAAAGCTTCTCCCGAATTATGTAATGATAAAAAACTTGAATTAAAAAACTTAAATAATATAGATAATATGAATCGAAAAAGTATTGAAGAAGTTGATACTGACATATCTGTTCCATTATTTCATCAGTCATCAGAATTACAAGAAGAAGAACAACAACAGCAGCAACATCAGGATAAAGAAGAAATAAATGATCAATCACAAGAGCAACCGAATGAGTTAGTAGAGTTATATAGGAGTGAAAGCTTTGGTGATTTGGATCAACAGTCAGAAAAACAACAATCACAATCCGAACCACAATACGATATATTAAATAATAAACAAAATGATGATAGTCAATCAATAATTGAACACAATATTATTAATAATTATTTTTGTTCTTCTCGAGATATTAATATCGATAGAAACAACAAAAATGATTCAATGTTTTCAAATTCAACAATGCCAACAACAATGTCAACAACAACAAAAAATACGACTACTAATATGTCTACAAATATAAAAGCTTGTGAAGATCATGATAATGACGATAACACAATTTACATACAAGAGAAAGATGTGTCATCAAATCACGATACTGTTATTGAACCACCAATACGTAATAGTAGTAATATTAGTGGTACATGTTTTATTAATAATAATAGTAACAACAGTAATAATAATAGTAATAGTAGTGAAACTGGTGATAATATTAATGTTAATGAAAATGAGAATGTAATTTCATCAATATCAACAGCACAATTGAGTAATGGTCCGAATGATACCGCTGTAGTAAAACCAAGACGTTTTATATTAAAATCAGCTGATACTATAAATAAATTAAAAAATTATTATGATATTGAAACAGAAACCGAATTTCCGCGGGATTATGATGATAATATTGAAATATTATCCCGTGAAGCGGAAGCTGAAGAGGAGCAATTTCATAGAGCAGCTGAAGATAAACTACAATTGCTTGTGTATGAACCTGATTTAAGTAAATTTGTTGAAGCTGAACGAAATAAAATAACAAAAAAAGATGATGATGAAGATGAACCAATTGCAATGTCACCTTGTGGAAGATTTTTCAAATATGATAAAGAAGTAGGACGTGGTTCTTTTAAAACAGTTTATCGGGGATTGGATACTCAGACTGGGATTGCGGTTGCATGGTGCGAACTATTGGTAAATTTTATTTTAATAAAGTTTTAATTTAATTTTCTTCTTGGCTTTTTATTTTCTATTTGTATTTTATTTTTCATTTTGTAAAATATTTTATAGGATAAAAAGGTTAATAAAGTTGAACGTTTAAGGTTCCGTGAAGAAGCGGAGATGTTAAAAAAATTACAGCATCCAAATATTGTCCGATTTTACAATTACTGGGAAGCAAATTTTGGAAAAAAGAAAAATATTGTTCTAGTCACAGAATTAATGCTTTCGGGCACTTTAAAATCGTAAGTATATACTTTTATATACTCCAAACACTGACCAAATCACGAAACTGACAAAGCCTAGCATGTATTCAAAAACCAAATCGAAGTTGTGGCTTTTTCCATACCTCAAATGATAGCTTAAAGCTTCATTTTGCAATATCTCCAAGCTTTAATTTTGTAGATTCGCGGGTCTTCAATTCCGAAAACGATTTCTATTTTTTTATTTATATTATTTGCTTGTTTAAAATTTATAAATTAAATTTACTTTAAGGTTATAAGGTATACGAATTAAAAGTAGTTTAACAGATTAAGATTTTTATTTTCATTATCAATTTTTTTTTCTTCAAATAATATAGATATTTAAGACGATTTAAGAAAATCAATCCAAAGGTTTTAAAATCTTGGTGTCGTCAAATTTTGAAAGGTTTGCATTTTTTGCATTCACGTTCACCACCAATTATTCATCGTGATTTAAAATGTGATAATATATTTATAACTGGCACTACTGGAAGTGTTAAAATTGGTGATCTTGGTTTAGCAACGTTAAAAAATCGTAGTTTTGCTAAATCTGTAATTGGTACCCCAGAGTTTATGGCACCAGAAATGTATGAAGAACATTATAATGAATCTGTTGATGTTTATGCATTTGGTATGTGTATGCTTGAAATGGCAACATCTGAATATCCTTACAATGAATGTTCTGGTCCAGCACAAATTTATAAAAAGGTAACTTCTGGAATTAAACCATCATCGTTTGAAAAACTTGAAAATCCAGAAGTAAGCGAGATTATTGAACGTTGTATACAATTAAATAAAGAAGATAGACCAACATGCAAAGATTTATTAAATTCAGAATTTTTTGGTGAGGATGTTGGTATAAGATTGGAACCAACAAGTTCTGAGGATTTTATTAATAACTTTGATGTAACTAAAATTGAATTTCGTTTGCGCTTACTTAGCCCAAAGAAGCATTCATTTAAACATAAAGAAAATGAAGCGATACAATTTGAATTTGATATTAAAATGGATGATTATAATGAAATTGGTATTGAATTAGTTAAAGCAAATTTTATAAGTGAAGAAGATGCTCGTGCTGTTGCAAAATTATTAAAAGTTCAAGTAGCATCATTATTAAAAGAGCGTAAGGATCGGCAAACCCAATTGCAATTGATGAATGAAAAAGCTCGCTTAGAAAAACTGGCATTACAAGCCAAAAAAGAATTTCAGCAACAATTACAGGCACAGTTGTTGAATGAACAAATTCAACAGCAAGAACAAGAAGAACAAGAAGAACAAGAAGAACAAGAAGAACAAGAACAACAAAAACAACAAGAACAACAAGAACAACGAGAACAACCAGAACAACAAGAACAACAAGAACAACAGGAACAACAAGAAGAACAAGAACAACAAGAAAAACAAGAACAACAACAAACAAAGCAACATCAAAAATATGAACAACAACAACCACAAGATGAAGAAGAAGAAGAAGAAGAAGAAGAAGAAGAAGAAGAAGAAGAAGAAGAAGAAGAGGAAGAAGAAGAAGAAGAAGAAGAGGAAGAAGAAGAAGAAGAAGAACAACAACAACAACAACAACAACAACAACAACAACAAGAACAACAACAACAACAGCAACAACAACAACCGCAAAAACAGCAACAACAAGAACAACAACAAAAACAGCAACAACAACAACAGGAACAAACAAAACAAGAACAAGACGAACAACAACAACATGAAAAACAACAACAGCAACAACAACAGGAACAAAGAAAACAGGAACAAGATCAACAACAACATGAAAAACAACAACAAGAACAACAACTGCAACAACAGCACCAACAGCAACAACAACAAGAGCAACAAACACTAGAACAACAACAAAAACAACTACCCCAACAGCAACAAGAACAACAACAAGAACAACAACAACAACAGGAACAAACGAAACAGGAAGAACAACAACAACAACCACAACAACAACAATCACAACAACAACAACCACCACAACAACAACCTCAACAACAACAGCAACCGCAACTGCAACAACAACAACAACAAATACAAAAACAACAACAACAACAAACACAACAAAAACAACAGGAACAAGAACAAGAACAACAAAAAGAACAACAACAACAAACACAACAACAAAAACAACAAGAACAACAACTACAACAAAAACAGCAACAACAACAGAAACAAACAAAACAGGAACAAGATCAACAACAACAACATGAAAAACAACAACAAGAACAACAACTGCAACAACATCAAGAGCAACAAACACTAGAACAACAACAAAAACAACTACACCAACAGCAACAAAAACAAGAACAACAACAACAACAACAACAACAACAACAACAACAACAACAACAACAACAACAACAACAACAACAACAACAACAACAACAACAACAACAACAACAACAACAACAACAACAACAACAACAACAACAACAACAACAACAACAACAACAACAACAACAACAACAACAACAACAACAGCAACAACAACAACTACAACAACAACAACCACAACAAAAACAACCTCAACAACAACAGCAACCGCAACTGCAACAACAACAAACACAACAAAAACAGCAGGAACAAGAACAACAACAAGAACAACAACAACAGCGACAGGAACAAACAAAAGAGGAACAACTACAACAACAACAACCACAACAACAACAATCACAACAACAACAACCTCAACAGCAACAGCAACCTCAACTGCAACAACAAATACAACAACAAATACAAAAACAACCGCAACAACAGCAACAACAACAACTACAACAACCACAACAACCACAACAACAACCTCAACAACAACAGCAACCGCAACTGCAACAACAACAGCAACCGCAACTGCAACAACAACAACAAATACAAAAACAACAACAACAAACACAACAAAAACAACAGGAACAAGAACAAGAGCAACAACAAGAACAAAAACAACAGGAACAAACAAAACAGGAGCAACATCAAGAACAACAACAGCAACAACAACTACAACAACAACAGCAACAACAACAGCAACAACAACTACAACAACAACTACAACACCAACAAAAACAACTACATCAACAACCAGAACAACACCTACAACAACAACATCAAGAACAACAGCAACAACAACAGCGAGAACAAAAACAACATCAACAAGAACAACATGAACAACAACAGCAACAACAACAAGGACAACAAAAACAGCAACAAGAGCAACAGCAGCAAAAACAACAACCACAACAACAACCAGAACAACAAGAACAAGACGAAAAAGAAAAAGAAGAAAAACAAGAAGAGGAAGAAGAACAACAACAACAAGAGCAAGGACAAGAGCAAGAGGAAGGACAAGGACAAGGGCTAGAGCAAGAGCAAGAGCAAGAGCAAGAGCAAGAGCAAGAGCAAGAGCAAGAGCAAGAGCAAGAGCAAGAGCAAGAGCAAGAGCAAGAGCAAGAGCAAGAGCAAGAGCAAGAGCAAGAGCAAGAGCAAGAGCAAGAGCAAGAGCAAGAGCAAGAGCAAGAGCAAGAGCAAGAGCAAGAGCAAGAGCAAGAGCAAGAGCAAGAGCAAGAGCAAGAGCAAGAGCAAGAGCAAGAGCAAGAGCAAGAGCAAGAGCAAGAGCAAGAGCAAAAGCAAGAGCAAGAGCAAGAGCAAGAGCAAGAGCAAGAGCAAGAGCAAGAGCAAGAGCAAGAGCAAGAGCAAGAGCAAGAGCAAGAACAAGAGCAAGAGCAAGAGCAAGAGCAAGAGCGAAAGCAAGAGCAAGAGCAAGAGCAAGAGCAAGAGCAAGAGCAAGAGCAAGAGCAAGAGCATAAGCAAGAGCAAGAGCAAGAGCAAGAGCAAAAGCAAGAGCACGAGCAAGAGCAAGAGCAAGAGAGAGAGCAAGAGCAAGAGCAAGACCAAGGCCAAGAACAAGAGCAAGAGCAAAGGCAAGAGCAAGAGCAAGAGTATGAGCAAGAGCAAGAGCAAGAGCAAGAGCAAGAGCAAGAGCAAGAGCAAGAGCATGAGCATGAGCAAGGGCAAGAACAAGAGCAAGAGCAAGAGCAAGAGCAAGAGCAAGAGCAAGAGCAAGAGCAAGAGCAAAAGCATGAGCAAGAGCAAGAGCAAGGGCAAGAGCAAGAGCAAGAGCAGGAGCAAGAGCAAAAGCAAGGGCAAGAGCAAGGGCAAGAGCAAGAGCAGGAGCAAGAGCAAGAGCAAGAGCAAGAGCAAGAGCAAGAGCAGGAGCAGAAAAAAGAGCAAGAGCAAGGGCAAAAGCAAGACCAAGACCAAGAGCAAAAGCAAGAGCAAGACCAAGAGCAAAAGCTAGAGCAAGAGCAAGAGTCACATAACCAGGAAAATCAAAAACAATTAGTTCAAGCGCCTAATATTGGAAATCAAGACAGTCAAAGTAACGGAATGGCGTGGCAATTGCAACAGATGATGCTATCGAATTTAAATAAAGCTGTAAGTTTAGTTAACGTTAGAATTATCTTCATAATTAGTTAGCATTATCTTCATATTAAAAAAAAAAAATTTTTGTTTCTTTTTAAATTTCGAAATAGTCTCAGCAGTATTCCCCATCTCAAAAAGCTGTTGCTTCTGCGACCTTTCAAAATGAGCAGCAAAAACAACAACAACAACAACAGCGACAACAACAACAACAACAAAAACAACAAGAACAACAACAACAACTACAAGAACAACAACAACAACAACAACAACAACCACAACAAAAACAACAACAGCAACAAAAACAACAACTACAACAACAACAACAGCAACAACAACAACACCACACACAACAACAAACACAGCAACTAAAACAACAACAGCAACAAGAACAAAAACAAGAACAAGAACAAGAAAAAGAAAAAGAACAAGAACAAGAACAAGAACAAGAACAAGAACAAGAACAAGAACAAGAACAAGAACAAGAACAAGAACAAGAACAAGAACAAGAACAAGAACAAGAACAAGAACAAGAACAAGAACAAGAACAAGAACAAGAACAAGAACAAGAACAAGAACAAGAACAAGAACAAGAACAAGAACAAGAACAAGAACAAGAACAAGAACAAGAACAAGAACAAGAACAAGAACAAGAACAAGAACAAGAACAAGAACAAGAACAAGAACAAGAACAAGAACAAGAACAAGAACAAGAACAAGAACAAGAACAAGAACAAGAACAAGAACAAGAACAAGACCAAGAACAAGAACAAGAACAAGAACAAGAACAAGAACAAGAACAAGAACAAGAACAAGAACAAGAACAAGAACAAGAACAAGAACAAGAACAAGAACAAGAACAAGAACAAGAACAAGAACAAGAACAAGAACAAGAACAAGAACAAGAACAAGAACAAGAACAAGAACAAGAACAAGAACAAGAACAAGAACAAGAACAAGAACAAGAACAACAAGAAAAAAAAAATCTGGAAGAACATGAATTACAAGGATATCAAAACAACCAAAAGCTGCAATGGGAAGGTCAACAAGAACAGGAGAAACAGGAAGAACAACGAATGTTACAAGAAAAACCATACCAAGAAAAACAACAGGTACAAATCGGGCGCAATATGTTTGATACGCAAAGCTTAACAAAGATGTTGCATCAACAGCAGCTACTGAAAAAGGAAGAAGACATATGGCAAAGGGAACAACAAGAAAAACAAGAGCGACATGGGCAGCATGAAAAACAAGAACGCTATCAAAAACAGCAAATGCAACAACAGAAAGAAAAACAACAAGAACGACAAGGAAAATTGAAACATTCGGAACAACTAGAACAACAAGCACAAAAAGGACATCAAAAGCAAATACAAGAAAATCACCAAAAACATCAAGAAGAACACGCGTTTAATGAAATACAAGAACAACAAGACAAACTTAAAAAACAATTTCAAGAACTAGAATACAAACAAAACCAAAAAGAGCAAACATATCATAAGGGGCAACAAGCACAACAACAAGAACAGCAAATGAAACAAGAACAATCTGTGCAGCAGGAAAAACAAGTTCAAGAGAAGGAAAAAGAACAAAAACAGAACAAAATGGGAGAAATAAAAAAAGAAGAAGAGCAAGAACAAGAACACAATCAACTGGCAAACCAAGAACAAGAAATACAACAGAAACAACCAGAGCAAAACCAACAAGATAAACGGGACCAACAAGATCAACTTAAACACCAAAAGCAACGAAAAGAGCAAGAACAATCACAACAAAAACAACAAGAAGAACAAGAAAATCAAACATTACAGGGGCAACAAGCCCAAGATATACTTAATCACCAATTGCAGCAGGAATTGGAAATGAAACAAGAAAAAGACCAAGAAATAGTGCCAAAACCAAAAAAAGAACGTAATTATGAAGAAGACCACCTGCAACAGGAACAACTACATGAGAAAGGAAAACGGAAGCAACAACAGCATTATAAACGAATGCAACCTGAGAAACGAAAGCAGCAGCAGCGATTGAATTTAGCAAATATCACAAGTAATGTGTTAGATAAAATGACCAATTTGTTTACATTAAATTCAAGATCAATGTCATTGAATGAAACTGATGTAACGCAATTAGTTGGACAACAAATACAACAATTTCCACAGCAGCAGCAACAGCAACGGGAACAGCAACAGAAAAAGCAAGAGCAACAGCAAGAGCAAGAGCAAGAGCAAGAGCAAGAGCAAGAGCAAGAGCAAGAGCAAGAGCAAGAGCAAGAGCAAGAACAAGAGCAAGAGCAAGAGCAAGAGCAAGAGCAAGAGCAAGAGCAAGAGCAAGAGCAAGAGCAAGAGCAAGAGCAAGAGCAAGAGCAAGAGCAAGAGCAAGAGCAACAGCAACAGCAACAGCAACAGCAACAGCAGCAGCAACAGCAACAGCAACAGAAACAGCAACAGCAACAGCAACAGCAACAGCAACAGCAACAGCAACTGCAACAGCAACAGCAACAGCAACAGCAACAGCAACATCAACAGCAACAACAACAGCAACAGCAACTGCAACAACAACCACAACAGCAACAGCAACAGCATCAGCAACAACAACAGCAACAGCAGCAGCAGCAACAGCAGGAATTGGAACAGGAACAGGAGCAGGAACAGGAACAAGAACAGGAGCAGGGGCAGGGGCAGGGGCAGGGGCAGGGGCAGGGGCAGGAGCAGGAACAGGAGCAGGATCAACAACAGCAGCAACAACATCAACAATACCAACAACAAAAACTTCGCACAAGTAAAAGTCGCAGATCAACAAAGGGTAATGCAAATATACCAAAATTAAGTGTTACAAAAATAGAAAATGGTACTATTGTTGATTGTCATATGGAAAATAAACCAAAGACGATAACATTTAAATTTGATGTTACTGATGTTAATCCATCTGACGTGGCAAATAATTTGGTAAATTTTTTTTTATTTTATTTTTAAATTTAAATAGTTGTTCTTTATACTTTATTATTTACCACTGTATTCAGTACTGGATTATAAAATCCACATAAACATGTATATATATATATAAATATATGTATATACTTTTTTTTGTTTTAAATCTAAATGAAAATAGATATCCCAAGAACTTTTATCTGAAAGCCAAAGTACCTTGTTTGTGGACATGATCAAAGATATTGTTAGACAGGTTAAATTGGATCCAACACAAATTCCAGTGCCAACAGTATTTCGACGCAACATTGAAAAGGTAAGCAACTTTTTTATACATAGTTATTATATTATTATTCTTACTAATATAAAAGCCGTATGTATTATTACCCTTCTCACGAAATCTTGAAATTGGTCCTAGTAATTTATATACATATCTTATGTATCATTGTATATTATACATGAACTTTAGCTATTTTGAATTTTGTTTTTGTTATAGCAATTTTATTCTATATTTTTGTTAAAGTATTTTCTAATCTTAAAAATTCCGTTTGCTTTAGGTTCGACATGCGTCGTTAACAAGACAGCGATCAGTATTCAAAACTCACCAAAGACATCGATCAGTAAGTTAAAAAAAAAGATAAAAGAAATAAAATTCATATATTTTATTATTATCAATATGTTTCATATGTATGTTGACAATTATTACATATGTACATATGTTATTAATTATTACATATGTTAATTAATTATTACATATGTTTTATACAGCATATGTTTATTATATCATACCTATTATATATTTATGTACCGCTGAACTAGATGGTATTGTCGAAATTACACATCTGTAGAACAAACAGATGTTGAAGAACAAGAAATTGTTTTTTTTTTCGACTTTACGAGTTACTGCGTGCTTCCTGAGTTACTCTTGTTTTATTGAAAAATTGTTTTTTAAGTAAGTATAATGTAGAGAAAATTTGGGTTAATGTTATTTTAAATACAATAAAATGATTTATTCTTAATTACATTATGGTAATTCAGTTTTAAAGTTCTAGAAACTCGGGAAGGAGCCAAAGAAACAAAAATGTTTTATATAAGTTTGATTTTGACTGACTATACCAGAGGTGGGGCACCTACAGTTTCTAAGGCCCCGCCCCGCCGCCTGTTGTATTTGTATGCCTTTAAATATTCAACTGCTTTCAAGTAAAAAACAAATGCAAATATCTCACTAAATATTATCTAGGTTGAATTAAATTTATCAAACAATGAATTTGAAGTTTTTTTTTGTTATATATGCTAATTATTTACTTTTCATTCAATGGATTTTATATTTTGTTAATATAATTTTATTAATTTTTATATGTATTTTTGTATGTATGCATAAAAAAATATTGACTTCAAAACAAAAACGAGAAAAAATGGAGTTGACCGTGTCAACTCTGCGATACCCGTACAAATTTGTTATCCTATGTATTTTCAATATTTTCTAAGATATTATTGAAGTTGTATGCCTGGTACCAGAAAGAGTCTAGCAATTTCAACGACTTTCATCAAACACATTGACCCTACTAATATATTCGCTTGTGTGAAATTTCAATACCACAGCTTTTATAGTTTCTGAGATATAGTCAAATAAATTTTGAAGTTGTATGGCAGCTACCCGAACTAGTAACCCGATCATATTCAATTTAAATAGGGTTCTGGCATTTACTATAATGAATAATTTGTGAAAATTTGGTGATTTTATCTCAATTAATTTTTGAGTTATCGTTAGTACGGATGGACCCTTCGAATATACGTTCGTACGGGTATAAAAAATTTAATTTGCACAGCAATAATTGTACAAAAGCTACAGTTATTGGTATTAAAACTTATGCGGCCTCCTTAGCTATTGTTACTTTAAATTTGGCCTCCATGAGCAGTGTTCCCACTCAGAAAAAACAAAATGTATCCAATTTCGAGAAAAAAATGTATCCAAAATGTATCCAACCTCGTAAAATAGCATTATTATAATAAGTCGTCTTATTTTGTACAAATTAACCCATAATTAATATTAATTTGCTTTATTCCACAATATGAGTTTTGTTATTTATACTAAATTCTTTAAGAAATTACATACAACTTCTATCATATTTTAAATGTGAAAGTTAAGGTCAGAAAAAACATATGCATATATGCCTTCTGTAGTTGTTGAACTATGCGGTAAAGACGATTGACCATGAAAACGGACAAATTTTAAAAAATATGTACATCCAATGCATTTTCTATTACATCTAGCTAACACTAAAATATTTTTGGTACGTTCTTGTATGAATTTTCTAAATTTGAATACAGGAAGAGGCAGTTAATAAAGTATCTTTTTTACTTTCTTGTAAAAAATTCGGAAACCTGCTTAGAATAGCCAGCAAATAACATTTATTGATGATAAAGCAACTTCGCGATTTAATATTAGCAGCATTTTAACTGTTTTGTAATATTTATTTAGTGTTTGAAAAAAAATGTATCCATATTTCAGTAAAATTTTAAAATGTAGCCAATTTCGGCATTTTAGCAGATTTGAGTATCTTTGTATCCAAGCTCAAATTTAAAGCAAAAATGTATCCAAATGGATACAATTGTATCCAAGTGGGAACGCTGTCCATGAGGAAACAGGTTCCCCACCTCTGGGCTATAACATATAGTTCCATAGACTTTTGCATACCTTGTATAATAATATAAAAAATAAAACATGTATATATATATAAAAGGTGACTTTGTAAAAAAGTATAACGATATTATATTATAATCGTTTAGAATATTTATAAATAACATTCGTTATACTCGTAATATAATAGAATCGTTTATAAATAATTAGACGATATTTTTTTTTAAATTTTGCGGTTGATTATGATTTTAAGTGACGGTAAAAGGAGAAGGGTATAAGGAGAGAAGAAGATAAAGTAAAAATTTTCTTGTGTGTGGGTATAATCCAGAGTATTGAATTATTAAATAATAATGTTGCAACAAAATTATGAACCAAGCGGTTGAAGAATTAACATATTTTTTTTTTCAAGTTTTTAAAAAAGTAATTTTTTGAGCAAAGTTGAAATCAGAACATTGAAGATTAAGAAATAGAATCAATACTTGTTCAAAACTTAAAAACACATTGTTGATTATTTCTATGTTTAAATTAATTTTTATTCTAATAATATATAGACAAATACTATAACATAAAATGAGTCATACAAAAACCAGATTCCTAGAAAAAATTTTTTTGACAATTTCATAATTTTTTTTATTTCCTTTGTTTATATTTCATTTCATTTTCCTTTCTTTAAAGAATCTTTAAGAATAAATAGTATAACAATAATTGCTTAATACATGTTTCACTTAAGCTCAGTAGATGTCGCTTAAAAAAAGGGAAAACAAATATACTGTTCCTTTCAGTATTCGCACAATCATTTAGTAGTCCCTTAATTATCGGACTACTAAATTATTGTGATAATTATCATAAAAAATTGTTGATTATACTAAATTATTATGGTAAACACAAACAAGTTCATAACTATAATTCAGGGATTCGACAATTAGAGAATGTGCCCCATTGTTGCATTTTTTTTTACAGAATCACCCTGTTTAATATTTAAACGTATAAGATACATTATACATAGATACTTTTAAGATGTCAAAAAGTACGGGTACTTCCAGAAGGGCTAGAGACGTGGTACAAAAGGCATTAGATAGGGTTTTGCCTTTAGGGTCCCAGAAAAATCTGACATTGAAACTTTTTAGCCACGAAATAGTCCTATTCTAAGGTTTTTTGGAAAAATTTTTGTATAACAAAAGCACGTTTTTCTTTTATAGTTTATATTATTAGAACCACAAACCGAGAACGAGAAATAAATAATATTCGAAAATATAATGACTTTACATATTTTTAGTTTGAAAAATCGAAATAAGGTTAAATAAATGTCAGCTTCTATCAAAGGCATCAGATGTTTTGTGGCATCTGAATATTAATGCTTCATTTGTTATTGTTTTGAATATTATGTTTCGTGAGCCAGCTTTAGAAATATATGCATACACAATTTATGTACGTATGTACTTAAAATTTCATTTTAATTATTCGAGCGAAAAACTCCAAAATGCTAAATTGTAATACATTCATATGTACATACATGTATTTGAATACAATTATTATTTTGTTTATGCCTAAACCTTTTCTTTATTTGAAAAATTTAATTCTGTATGTTCACCCACAGTTTTAAAATATAGGTATACATTCATAATTATGTATGTTTGTACTTAAAATTTTATTTCTACTTATTCGAACGAAAAATTTTAAAATGTTCAATTCTAATACATTCATATGTACATGCATATATTTGAATAAAAATATTATTTTATTTATGCCCAAATCTTTTCTTTATTTGAAAAATTTATTTTTGTATGTTTACCCCCATGATTTAATAATTATGTGTTTAAAATTTATTTCTATTTTATAATATAGAAATGTACTTGGCATATTCTGCCAAGTACAGTTTTGAATATTATTCAATTCATATAGGAACCTTAAAAAAAAATTCGTTAGGAAGCTTTAAAAAAAATGTACATACATGCTTATGTACTTACATAATATATATAGAGACTTCTCGGGTGTCAAAAAGTAATTTCTAGAAGGGGTAGAGACATGGCACAAAAGGCATTAGATAGGGTATTGCGTCTACGGTCCCAAAAAAAGCCAGAATCCCACCCACCCTCCCCCTACATCTCCTTCCATTGTGCTTTGTGACTGCCTTTTACAAAATTGTACTATATCCTTTAGAGTAATTTTTATTTACTTTTGGTGGTATAAATATTGTGTATTAATTAATTTTTGGAAGTGTGAATTATAACAAAAAGTGAACACTTTTTAAATGCGAACTTTTATGAAAAAGTTCGCATTTAGTTATATATTCTTTCGCGATCTGCTGCAAAATGTATTAGTAAGCAAAACATAAGTGAACATTATTTTCCTTGACAATATGTATTTTTAGGATAAAATTTAATAAGAAAATGTTATTCTATTGCATTAAACTTTTACAAATAGGGTAATTTAAAAAAAAATATTTAGAACGGAAACTCGCTGATATATTGGTTTGCTGATATATTGGTTTGTATTTTAAATAAGAACAAAAAATATCTGATGCAGTCAGCACATAACCGAATGTATGTTGTCTAGTTAAGTAAAAGTGTTACAGAAGATTATAAAAATGTCTTTTAAACACTTTAAATATTAAACTTCAAGGAAGAAGGTTGATTAATTCTCTTTATATGGGCAAAAATCTAAAATTGGTCCGCTAAAAGATCCTGTTTTTATTAAAAGATCCTGCTAAAAGATTATGTTTTATTGATAATTTTATTACCGACCGCATTGCATACAATCAGGGAGCTTATGTGATGGCATATGGCAACAAATTTTGCATATAGAGTTTTCGCTGGGAACGCACTTCTCCATAGTAGGGAAGCGTAAATAAACTATTTTTAGAGAGGTGTCGGTCTGTCTGTGTGTACGCGTGTATCTCAATTTCGGTAGAACCGATTTTCATGAAATTTTCTATGTGACTTTGTTTTGGCAATGTCACAGATTGATTAACTTTTGGGATATTCAGGCCTTGGTAAAAACGTTTCAGTCGGTATAAACCGATTGAATTATACCCTGCACCTTTCATTGTTGTGTAGCAATTGTTCGAAACTGCGAAACCATTATACAGAAACTTCGAATATGTCTGACCTTTAATTGGACACACAACTGTCAAGTTTAATGAATTTGGCTTTAATATTTTTCCAAATAATTTAAATTAGCTTTTGGACTTGTATGGCAGCTACCCGAACCTGTCAAGCACTTCAACCAAAACTTCAAGAATATATCTGACCTATAAATGGACAGACGATTGCCAAGTTTCATGAATAAGACTTTAATATTTTTCCAAATAATTTAAATTAGCTTTTGTTCCTGTATGGCAGCTATTCCAACCTGTCAAGCAATTCCACTAAAACTTTGGAAATATATCAGACCTATAATTGGACACACGACTGCCAAGTTTCTAGATTTGTTATTTTTCCAAATACTTAAAATTTGCTATTGGAGTTGTATGGCAGGTACCTGAACATGTCAAGCAATTTAACCCAAATTTCAAGAATACATCTGACCTATAAATGGACACACGACTGTCAAGTTTTATGAATCCGACTTTATTATTTTTCTAGTTATTTAAAATTTGATTTTGGAGTTGTATGGCAGCCATCCGAACCCGTTGTCCGAATTCGACCAAATACAATAGGAATCATCCTTGGCATAAAAGAAAAAACTTGTGAAAGTTTGGTGTAAATTGCGTTATTCGTGTTTGACGGACGGGTGGACATGGCTAAATCAACGCAGAATTTTACGATGAGCAAGAATATATATATATTTGCATACCGCAGATGATAAAAAAAGTTCATCTGACAAATCGCATTTTTCAGGGTGCGAACCTGAGACTTTTTGCATCGAAATCGTGTGCTATACGCGTTACCCTATTTAGTATTAGTACTAGTAATTATATAGTATAAGTATTAATACTAACGAATTATACATTCACGCGGTTTATTCGCATGTATTATAAAATTCAAATACATACGTGCATAGATTTTAGTAGCGAATGCAGTAATTGATCGCTTAAAGTGCTAATTTTTAAAGGTTATTTACGATTTTATGCGACATAACACAAATTGAGGTTCTGAAATAAATTACTTGAAAGATATTAGATCTCAAAGGAACTAATTATTTGTTTAATTATGTACTTTTTTAGAACTTTTCTAAAAAATTTTTGAAAAAAAAAGTGCTAATTAGTTTCACTCTGCTCGTCCGTTCGTCCGTAGACATGTTTATAAAACTTCTACACCCCTGAAGGTAGAAAGCCGAAATTTTATGTGTATATAGACCTTTACGAGAAACTTATTTCCTTAGAAGAAAATTTTTACTTAAAACCCTAAAAATGGCATTCTTTAACTATTTATTGCAGTGAAACTATAAGCATTTTTTAAATTCCGCAAACGCAGAAATATACCGCGTCATACTGTACTAGAATTTTAAAAAGACAAAACGGCCGTTAAAATTTACCGTTATCTTGAATCCATTTGTTCCAAATTTTTGATGTTGTTTTTCTTCTAGACCCCAGTTTGTAAAAGTCTAAAATTTTAACAGCTTTTAGACTTTAAAAAAAATTTCTAGAATTTGAATTTTTGGTACCTTATATTTTTGAAACCGCTAGCTTTTTAAAATTTCTATAAACGCAGAAAGCCAACGCTAAACTTCATTCCTTTGAAAAATATAATTAAACACACTGGTGAATGAAGGTGTCATTTACAATTTTTACGAAATAGGTTTATTGCACAAATAGAAGTTGCATATGTTTATCTTTTATATGCAAAAACCCATTTTTCAACACGGGTTAACTCTTAAACTCAAAACGACTCAGTTTAAGACATAGCTTGTCTTTAAAAGGTGTTATGCCACACTTTTGAATTATCTTGCTTTGAGAGAAGGTTAATTTACTCCAAATTTCAAAAACTGTAGTTGACAACTTCATTCGCTCGTGTTTTCAATTATTTTTCTTAACTCATGCCATTTACCCTTAAAATCGAGCATTATATTAATATTTTTTTAAATTTATTTTTGCTTTATTCCAAAGACTGCATAAAAAACCGTTCACCCTAAATACGAGTACATGCATTTTTTGAAACAGTTTTGTATATGAATGAAAATTTTAATAGTGTAGTAGGTATATATAGACGGTTTTTAAAAGCAGTATTTTCACTTATTGAAGGGAAAAGTGCTCCATTACAAATCATTGGTTTGACCCAACATTGTTGTGTTTGATGTTATTTATCATTATAATTATAATTACTGTATTTGCAGAAACATTTTTTTATTTTGTTTTGTTTTTTTTTTGCTATTTTTTTTTTGTTTTTAAGACCATTATCCTAGATGCGGCTTCAAATAAATCAAAATATTAGCAATATTGTAATTTATTTTACATAATGGTTTTTAATATATTTTTATATGTTTAAGTTAAATCTTTGAAAGAATTGTTTAATACATTAATTTAATGATAAAAAAATTTATAAAAAAAAAATTTGTAAAATTAATATATGTAATATATAATTTAATAATTCGAAAAAACAACCCTTATCCTGAATTTATAGAGAGATGAAACATCAACAAACACAATTTTTTCCCAAATGTTTGATACTGGTAATGTTTACAGTATGGAATCTTTAGTTATGCCATCATCAGTAGGTGAAAGTGGTAATTTTATTTTTAGTAACAGTGGCAACGAAAAAAGAAATAATGATAATAGCAATATTTATAATGAATCATTACCACAATTATTAAATCAACAACCATTAAGAAAAGCTGATAGTGATGATACAATTAAAACTACAACAACTTTTGATGATACACTACCAGCTCAATCAGGAGAAGATTGTGAAATAATAAATGATTCAACAAAAATATTTGGAAATAATATACATAGTATATGGTGCAATAATAATATAACAAATAATGGAACAGAACTTGTAAGAGCATCAGGAATTTCCGTATCATCAATGATTACCAACAGTTTTAATGTCGGTACAATATCTCAAGGTGTTGGTAGTGGTATTTGTATTGGAGAAGCAAATTATATAAGTAATAGTGTTATTGGAGGCTGTAATAGTAGTACTGGTGCTGCATCTATTGATCAAAATATTGATAATATTGGATTATGTTCAGTATCACGTAAAACTAGTACTGCCTCAGAATATACTTCATTTTCATCTGATTATACACCAGATAGTACAATAACATCGTCATCATCACCGTCAACAATTGAACAAAATCAAAAGATTTCTGAAAGTGATACTTTGGATAATTTGGATTTAACATTACCAAAAGATATACATTTGAATGCATCATCAATAGGAAATGATGTTTTATTGGAAACTGCATCAGCCCAAATAATAACTCCAACAGCAACAAACAATAATTATGTTGTTGCTTTTACATCTATAACAGCTACAACAACACCTACTAACACTACTACCACAACAAGCATTAGTATCGGTAGTCAAATAAATCACTTAGAAACAATAGTTCCTCCATTTTCTGTCCAAGATTCAAAAAATATTACAAGTGATAGTAATTCATTTAATTTAAATGCAACACAAATAACACCAACTCAAGAGTTATTTAATGATATTAATAATTCGGTATCAACAGAATCTAAAACAATGCCAACTGATAATTTAAGTGGAGAGATGGCAATGGGAACACCTATTTATAATGATGTCAAGCCCAAGGCAGTTAGAAAGGTTTCACGTTTTTTAGTAAGCCCCGTGGTTAGGAAAACATCAACTGGTGGTACAGTAATTGTTGAAGCGGAACCTCCTCCAATTTCTCAAACAGAAAATTTAACATATTCACCACAGCAGTTACAGCAACCAAACTTCCCCTCCTCATCTGCTGTTACAGATATTTCGCAGCAAAACAAAGCTTCACACAATTTATTTTCATCAAATTTTCAAACTGAATTTCAACAGCAGACTATAGACGGCGTACGAAATCAAACTAATAATAGTATTAGTGGTACATTAGGGCAGTTGAATGAGGAAAATATAAATTTATCTACAATTGTTATGGAACAACATCAACAAGAAAAATTAAATACACAATATCAAAAATTACATTCGCTTCAACAAATGCAACAATATCAAGACTGTAACCAAAATATTGATCAATCAACAAACGTTATAGCTGCCAAATTGTCAAACCAAATTGCTAATGTAAGTAGTTCAGATATTTGTGATTCTAATTCAGTTATACAGCAACAATACCGACAACACCGTGAAAAAGAGCAAAAATTATCAAGACTAGTGCAAAAAGATCAAGAACCAGACCAGGAGCTGCAACAGGAAATTAAACAAAAACAAAACCAAGAACTCAAGCAAGAAGAAGAACATCAACAAGTGCCAGAAGAAGAACAAAAACAACAGCAAAATCAAAGGGAATCGCAATTACAAACACAGCAACAAAACCAAGAACGTCAAGAACAACAATACAATCAACAAAGTGAAAAACAAATTCCTCAAATAAATAGAGAAGAAGAATACGAACAAGAAAAATCGGAACAAAAAGGTCGAGGATGTGAACAAGAACAAGCTCAGCAATTGGAAATGAAACCAAAAGAGATCCAAGAGCAAGAACAATGTCAACGATATCAACAAAGGGAACAAGAACGAGAAAAATTAGAGCATAATGATTGCGTGCAAGAGCAGCAACAAGCAACGAAACCAAAAGAAAACCAAGAAGAACAACAGGATCAATTACAATTACAGCAGCAAAAACAGAACCAAAGACCACAGTTTCAACAATTTCAAGAAAAGGAACAAATAGAGAACCAAGAACGAGAATATGAAGAAAAACAACATGAAGAACAACAACAAAGAGAAGAACAAAAGCTAAAACTGCAGCACAGAAAACAAGAACAGCATGACCAACAAGAACGACAAGAATCACGAGCACAACGAGAAGAACAGGTTCCACAAGAACCACAGTCACAACAAGAAAGTTTGAAGCAAGAACAAAATGAGCGGGTACAACAACAAGAACAGCAAGAACGAGACAAACAACAACCAGAACAGCAAGAACATCCAGATCGACAGAATCAGGAAATCGAAAATATTGCTCATAATTTAATGACGTCATCAGAATCTGTAATATCATCATCAACAACAGAAACAACTACTGTTACTACTTCCGCAATAAGTGACGCTAATGCAACAGCAGCAAACAAATTAGTTGGACCAGAACACATAAATACATTGGAGCAATTAAAAATTGGGTTAGAAAATATAACACATGCTCATGTGCCGGCAGTAATTAGCAAAAGTGGTAGTGTCAGCGGTATACCAGGCCAAGCTGCACCTCAGGTCAATACTGGTACAGAATCAATGTCAGCTCCAAGTACAGCTACACAACAAGAAATTGTAGCTAGCTTAAGTGCTATGAACGTTTTATCTGAAGGAAGTAGCATTGATAATGCGTCTGTTTCAGAAGATGCTAGTTGTTGTAATAATTTTGGCGTAGAAATGGTTGGTGGTGGTACTCCAAGTAATAACAGTGTAACTAGATTGAGCGGTATTAGCGCAGTTGGCATAGAGGCAGATGATGCTTTAGCAGCAGTACCCGCAGTTGAAGCAGCAACAGGAGGAATAATTACTGGAGGTCCTGCAAGCGCAAATAATATTAATCAATCAAATTCTGAGCAAAATTTAAAAATGACTACAAATGCGTTATCATTAAACAATGACATAAAAGAGGTTAGAACCAAAAGAACAAAATTATACCCTTTTGATGGCCTTTTTACTTTATTATATAAGAAGAAAAGAAAAAACAAAAATAGTAACTTAAACCCAAAAATTTTTAGATTTTTTTTTAATTTTTTTTCTTCTAGTTTATTTTGGTTTTTCTTTCTTATTTTTTGCTCAAAAATTAACTAATTTAACATTTAATTTTCTTTATGTTTCTTATTTGTGTTTAAAACATAGGTAGCTAGTGAAATAAACTACGCCAGCGGCGATGACACTGTCACCGGAGACGTTACTGAAGGAATCATACCATTAGAAAATAATACACCATGTCAGTTACAGCAACAACAACAATCATCGACAACACCTGCAGGCCATGGTACACCAGCTACTTCGGTATCAACAAGAGGTTCATCCGTATATAATTCAAGAAGAACGTCGTTAGACAATAGCGGAAGTACTGATATACCTCAAATTCCAACAAATATTATTGAAGGCGTTGAATCAACATATATTGTTCCTACACAGGAACAAGCTCATTATTATATTAGTGAAGGTGGTATTTGTGGTAGTGAGGGTCCTAGTAGTAGTTTCAGTGTAAATCTTGGTAGTGGACAACAAACAACTGGTAATAGTACCACAGCTCAAACACCAAGCGATCATGATCCATTAATAAAAAAGCTACCGAAACAGGGTAGCTTAGAGGGTAAACATGACATGTAAGTATTCGTATCCTTATTAGAACCTTATTTCTTGGATGTATGAAATGCATTTCATATAATAATTTAGCTTAAAACAGGCATATAAACGGTGGTATTCCTAAATAATTCTATTTTAAAATTCCTCATATATTTATTTGTTTTTGTTTTTTGATTAAAAATTTTCATATCGATTTTTGTGTGTTGACATTTTTTTTTTATATTAACATAGGAACGCCATACAAAGCTCTTTGGCAGATTTACAACACAAGCTGGCTCTTTTAACTGCATCTGGAACGACGACAACAGCAATAAATCAAGCATTGAATGAGGTAAAATTTGTGATTTTATTTTTGTTTTATTTGTTTTTTTTTTCTTTTCAATTTATGATTGGTGTTTTTTATGCTCTTTTTTTTGTGCTACATTATTCTTTGTTTTGTATTTAATTTATTTATTTTATTTATTTATGATGTGTGAAGAGAACAAATAATGTTCTCGTAAGGGTAAGCCTATCCAATGTGATATAATAAATAATTTTCCTTTGTATTCTCGAACTATATTTGGGACGCATAAAGTATTAAGTTTTTGTATTTGTGAGAACCTAAAAATTTTGTTCTTGTTCTTTAACCATTTACTTGTATTTTATTTACCCGAACCAATTTACATCATTGCATTTTTCATAATGAATTCATTTCTTTTTAAATACTCTATATAGGTTTTATTAAAATTTTTATAAAAGCGAATAAAAATCGATTTTATCTGATGTAATTCCCATGCAGGTGCACGAGATTCAAGATGGTTACTTCTATAACTTGAAATTGTGAGCTTTCACATATATGCGAGTTTTCATATTCTATACAGGATGTTTCCCATAAAGTGACAAATAATTTCAGGAATGATTCTTTGATCAGTTTTCAGCAAAAAATTATATTGGCAGACACGCTCGTTTTCGAGCTAAAGCTTAAATTGGAATTCGAGCTAAAGCTTGAAATTTCAATATACAGAGTGTTTTTTTCGTAACGACTTCATATGTCACGAAAAAAATACTAAAATAGAATCCGAAACTGACTTTTATGATATGTGGAAATAAAATCGAATTTCAATTTCGGCATTATATTACAAAAATAACTTCCTTGTTCTGTAATATTTTAGATTAATTTACCAATTTAAGCCTTATTCGAATTTATTTCAATATTTTTAAAATTAGTAAATTCTTTTTGGAAATAAAGATGATTTCGTATCTTATCTCATTATTTTCTCTTTGATTTTATTTCTAATTAGATCTTGACAGAATCAACAGGTCTACAGAAACAAAAATTATTTCGTTATTACCAAATTTCATTACTTTCAAATATTGAAGCAATCATAATACGAGTATATTTAGCTCTCTGTTTAGAAGCTATATTAATTAAAATATAAATACTGTTTGGCGTTCCCTAATTAAAAATGTACTTAGAGGTAAAGAAAAAACTTAATTTTTAAACTTTTGTTGACTACAGCTTGTAAGAAAAGAAAAATTTTGTTTCGATATAAAAAAAACGTTTTTCCTTAATTTTGTTAATTTATAAATGAAGTAAGAAATCATTTAAAATAGTTAAAAATTTCTTGTGTACCATAGAAAATTTGAAACGTGCCAATGTTGGCGAGCGTGCCATTGAATTACTCTCCTGGCAAAACTGATGCAATATAATATTTAACAAGCATACAATGACTTCGTAGCATTTTCATTTTCAGATGCCACAACTGTTTAAAAATGAATTCCTTTTTTACAATTAATATTTTAGGGTGATTTAATATTGCAACTTTTCGAAATTTCTCATTAAATGGATTGCCCATTTTTCAAACTTTCAATCAATATGCGAGTACAAATATAGCTTTTGGATTCTAATAAACAATTTATTTTACTAGAAGAAAATTGCTACTCCATCCTCTCTTAAGTTATCATCCCTCAAAATTTGAAAAAGCACCTTAAATTTCAGAAGCTGTGAGATATTCCAAATTTCTATGAATGCGCAACGTTAACGGTAAATGTAATGAAAAATAGAATTATTTTCCTAAATTCTTTTGCTCATAACACCGTCCAATTTAACTATTATGTTATTGTTTCTTTCAATTTTTGTTTTTGTTCATCCTAAATGTATGCAATAGTTTTATATATAATTTTTAGCACTTTTCCAAAGTGCTAATTTGTTGCAGTGATACCATAAGCAGTTTTCAAATTTTGCCAACGCAGAAAGACGGTAGCTTGTTTCTTCTATCGGGGCATACCAAAGCTAAACTTTAAAAAAATAAAATGGCGGTTCAAATTACTGTTATCTAAAATCCGTTTTTTCCAATTTTTTTTTCTCGTTTTTCTTCTAGATTCGAAGTTGTAGAACCCGGAAATTTTGGCAGCTTTTAGATACTGATAAATAGTTTATTTTATTAGAAGAAAATTTTTTTTCATCTCCATTGTAAAATTTGAATTTTTGACGCCTTATATTTCCGAAACAGCAAGTTTTTTTCAAATTTCTATAAACGCAAAAAGCTAACGGTAAATTCCATGGCATTAAAAAATATAATTACTTTTCTTAACTCACGCAATTAATCCTTAAAAACGAGCATTAAGTTAACCCATCTTTATATTAATTTTTGCTTTATTTCAAAGACTGCATAAATCGTTGATCCTAAATATATGCAATCCTAGAAATAGTTTCGTATATGAATGAAAATAATTTTAATAGTGTGGTAGTTATACATAGACTGTATTTAAAAGCAGTATTTTAACTTCTTAAAGCGAAAAGTGCTACAATACAAACCATTGGTTTGACCCAATTTTATTAATATCAATGAAACTATTTTAAATTATGTAGATTTCTTTTAAAAACAGTAATTTTACTTGTTGAAGGAAAAGCGTTACTTTATAAAACTATTGACTTGGCCTTAACTGTATTTTATATTTTTCTCCATTGTATATTTTATATTACAATAGTAATATTTTTTAATGTAAATTCGCTTCCAAAATATAACAGACACTTCTAAAATAAACAGTTTGCAATCGAAAAACAAAATGGCTTCCTATTTTATTTTTCATTGTTAATTTTTTGTTCGTTTTTTTTTTTTTTTAAATTGTTAATTTACTATGTTAATTTTGTAAACATATTATTTTATTAAAAAAGGCAGTTTACGACTATTCGTGTTTAAATTCAAAACTACATCGGCCGGGGGACCTTGTTTTTTTAGAAAAATAAATATCATTATTAGCTATACATATTTATCATTACTCAATCCTAACAATTATTGTATTAATGAAGTGTAACTATTTTTTGGACAGATAGAACTATATAGCACAAATCTAGTCAAAATGATTCGTAACTAAAAAAAAGTTATATTACTGACAAAAAAAAAGTGATGTTCTGCCACTTTTGAAATTATAATCAATTATAATAAATAGTAGCTTGAATATCAATATAAATGTGTATATAGCAAGAGCAAGAACTATGTATTCATATACTGCCAATGTAGTTCTGAATTTACGTAAAATCATTTTACTAGCGTTCCAACATATATATATATATATTGGAATGCGTGTAAAATGATTTTGTAACCTTATATATATATATATATATATAAGGTTAGAAAATTTTCGGTAGAATCTTTTCATTTTAAATATCATAATTACTTTTATTTCATATTAATTATTATTTTTTTTAATTTCTATATAAACAACAGCAATATATATATAGCTCATTTGTTGCAACAGTGACATATTTAAACATATATACTAATATATTCTGACTTATTTATTTTGAAGTTATATTGTTGCAGTAAATAAGCGATATTATATTATAAATTTTAATAATTTTAATTTATTGTTATTATTTTGGTTTGGCTTTTGTTTGTGTGTGTGCAGTGTGTGTGGAATGGGTTAATTTAATATAAACCAAAATTTATATTTATTATAAATATTTTTATTTTAAAGCGAAGATTAACGAAATGTTTTGTAGCTAGAAGTTCTAAAATTCTATACAAATGAATAATTTAATAGTAAGCAATTATTATTAAATAAAAGATTATAAATATGTGGGATTCAAATTTTTAAATTAAATAAAAAAAACAAAATAAAAATAAAAATACATGCACAAATAGAAAACAAAATTTTGAATTTTTTGAATCCATTTTTGTACCCATTTGTATTTTTGTCTTTTTTTTTAAATAACTTATATAATTTTCATTTCCAATAATAAAAATGGACAAACAATTTAAATCAGCCATGTCAAACTCATTTATCATCACGGGCCGTTTTAGGGTTTCCGCAAATTGCTTCGGGCCGCACAATAAAAAAACTTAAATTACTAAATTATACTCAAATCTTTTATAAACATAAAAATATATAAAACAAACAAATACTACAGTCATACAAATAAATATAAAATCATTTTTTGCTAAAAAGCAACGTTTTTCTGTTACTAAATCTTCGAAATTTGGTTGAATTTAATTAGCTGTTGTAATTTTTAACATTTTTAATATTAATTGAACATGTTGATCTGTTAATCTTGTTCTTTCAGCTGTTTCATTATTTTTTAATATCGAAAACAATTCACACAAATGTGTGCTTCCGAAAATGGCTAAAACAGGCTTAATTGATTTATACTCGTAGGTAAATAATTATAAAATTTAGTAATTTTCACTTCTCTAAATTTTTGTTTTAATACAGAATCGCATAGCATTTCAATTTCAATTTTAAATTTGCATCAAGTGTTTCAATATCAGAAAATGGAAAAGCAGATAGGTTAAATTCATTTTGACCTTAATTATTAAAATCTTGAAATCTTCTTTCAAATTCGGTTTTTAATAATTTATTCTAATAGTAGAATGATCGGAAAATTTCGAATTTATTTCACTGGTCTACCGCCTACAAATGTAAGAAAATTAAATTAGTTCAAATATATAAGTATTTGATTTATAGAACAGTCGCTCTCGAAATAAACTAACGTGAAAATTCGTTTTCGGCTATACATATTGTATACAGTTGTGTATTTTTTGCATATGCATAAGTTTGGATTTTGGATGCGTGACAAATCCCCGCAGTACCTTCACTCTGGTTTCAAAACTTTTTTTACCAATCTAAACAATATTTGTAACAAAATTATAAGAATTAAATTTCACAATTTTCAAGAATCGCCGCCGGGTTACAATTATATATTTTCTCTTACTGAGAAATGTGCGTATTTTATAAGTCACTTGCGCTTTATATGACTACATTTTACAATATACAATTTTAAAATATAAAATAATTAATGGAAAATTATATGAAAAAGAGTAATCATTTTTAATTTTAATACCAATTTTCTTTAAAAATAAAATTTTTATTTTTTTATAATTATGCTTTATAGCTATAATAATTCATTAGAATTGAAATTTAATTATGAAAAAAATATTTTAACGTACAGAGTGTATTAAATTTCGAATTATGTTTTTATTATAAATATCTACATTTAAATATATAAAAAAAATTTATATATATATATATATATATATATATATATTATGCCATATGGCCAAATAAAATTGGGAATGCTATCGAAAAAAAAATATAATTGAATAAGTCTTACACTAAACGTCTCATTCCGTTACGTTTGCGTTTTGTTCGCTTAAAACTTATGCTACGGGGAATTATATTTTTCTGTAATATAGAATACAATTTTTTAGTTATTTCTGAGAGGCTGATATTTATTTGATATCTACGAAAAGTAAACTTTGTTATATGGTAAAATATTTTTTTAAATTCCATGAATATGAAGAAAATTTGTTATTTAATAATATTTAATTTTTAATGAAATTAAATTTATATTTAATAATATTTAATTAGATATATAATAATATATATTTATTTTTTCCTTTAAGAATTTAATAAATAATTGAATTCATTTGGGGAGAAATTTTCTTTTAAATATCTACATAACTACTTTTCATCGCTTGGAAAAATTTTTATTAAATATATTACACATGACCCAAAAATTGTGTAATTTAATTCCTTGAGTTTTTTTATTTAAGTTTAGTAAAAAAATTTTTATTTTTATCTTAAAGATATGCAATAAGTATATTATAATTCTTTGGTGGGAATTCAAAGAAGTTTAAGCCTATGTTTTTTTCAAAAATATTATTATTTTATAAATCAGTTTAATTATGGATATAAACTTTTGCAACTACATATTAAATAATGTTATTTGTTTGCTGCTATTTCAATTGTGATTTATTCACATTTAACATAGTATGTTAATTTTTAACATATTGTTGTTAAAAATCATTGTTTGCTTCTTTCAAACCCGATCACCTTGATTAATTTTTCGTTTAAAATTCAAAGTTTGAAATTCTTTAACAAAGTTTTCTTAGTTAAAGAGAAATAGAGAAATTTTAATATTTTCCTTTTGAAAATTACTTTTTTATATGTTCTTTACCATTATATAGCATTGAAATAACATTATGAAGCAAGCGGTTGAAGAATTGACATAATCGGTAACAACCGGAACTCAAATATCAAATTTGAAGAAATTCCATCAATCCGTTCCGTAGATATGGTAAAAAATGTAAAATTGGCCCTCAGATCAGTTTCCAAGCCGTGATTTTTCCAAAAAATTTATATGCTCACTGTTTTAATACGAAAAATTTAAATATTAAATTTCAATGAAATCGATTGATTATTTCTCTTTATATACGCAAAAATGTATATTTGGCCCGTAGTAAACGTCCAGTTGCTGACACCTGATTTTTTCCAAAAGTTAGGAGGTTTCACGGACGGTTAAGCTGAGCTTATATACAAAATTTCAAGTAAATCGGTTGAATATTTTCTTCAAAATGTTCAAAAATGTAAAACGGGCCCGGAAAAAGTCCAGTTCCCAAGCCCTGATATATCCCAAAAGTTGATCAATCCGTGCCATGGTCAAAATAAACTTACATATAAAATTTCATCAAAATCGGTTCATTCGAACTTAAGATACACGCCGGCACACACAGAACGACAGGCCGACAGACCGACGGACTGACGCACCGACAGGTTTCTAAAAATAGTTTATTTACACTTCACTACCATGTAGAAGTGCGTTCCCACTAATAACTTGATATGCAAAATTTCCTGTAATGTGCCATCACATTATTGTATACACAATGCGATCGGTAAAAAAGTAATAAAAAAAATATGAAAATTTGAGAGCATAATACTCGTATTCAGAGCATTTGAAAGAAATAAGGAAGAGCGTCACATCATATGAATATCATTTATATGCATATATAAAAAAGGACAACCTTCCCTTACAATTTTACACTCTAATATACAATTAATACAATTTACTATATTAATATGCGAATGTTAATTATAATAATATTAGTTTTTATTATTTATAATAACAGTATATTAATAGTGTTTATAATGGTATAACAGTATTAACAGTGTTATAATAGGTTAGCGATTTAAAATTTATATCAAAAATATTGTGCTAATTAAATCAATTTTTTTTTGTTAAAAATTACATTATTAATTATATAAATAATTATTAATCTAATAAATTTTCCTAAAGGAAAGAGTGTATATGTATACAATTTTTTAATTTTTATATATGTGCGAATTATAATTATACTTGTATATTATAAGTACATGTTGGTGTTAAAATAAAAAAAAATTCTTCTAAAGAAAAATAAATATAAAATTGCTTGTTGTGCAGAAATCGCGAATTGCTGCTGAAAAATAAAAAAAAAAATTCACAATTAAAAAAACGAAACTGAAGTTTTAAAAGGATAATGTACGTGAATAGGAGACAACGCTATATATAGGAGATACTCTGGAGATTTGTAAAAGTTATAAAAAAATTTTCGATTCTTTTCCTCGCATATGTAATTCAACAATGAACATACAGATTTCCGCTCAATATTAAGAAGATTTTTGATCAACATTTTGAGAAAAGACAACAAAATTAACTGCAAATGCAAAAAAAAAAACTTCGATATTTTGACGGCGACAAAAGAAAATTTTGTTTTTAATTATTTATGATTTTTTTTTCTGTTGTGTAAAAGATTTTGTGTGAAAATTCTTGAAGGTCAAATTGCTCAAAGTACATATGAGTTTCTGGAGATTACTTCTAATTGAGATGATTTTAATCGTGTAGATAGATAATTGCTAACTCAAGTTTTATCAAGTCTTGCTAACTCATATGTACTTTGAGTATGCTAACTCATAAATACTTCTTAGATACTGCACAGTAGAGCTATTAGCGAATTCGAAAGTAGAAACATGTTAAAATATAAAAATATAATACTTACAAAATGAAAATTAAACTGCTCAGAGGTAAAAGCGAAAAATTTGACGTCTAAGGGTTTACACTTTATTCCATATTTTATTTTTATTTTCGATTGATTATGCTCACAATATTTAACGAAATCAAAATTTATTATAGAAATATTAAATTTACAAAAAATAATAATTATTTATACTATAACATTATTATACATTTACTATATACATGTATAGTCCAGTTTAGAGATGGGAGTCAAATAATACATTTTTAAATCATATAAATATTTTATATTTTCTTTACCAAATCTCTTTTTTGTAACTAAAAATTTAGAGTTTATTTTAAGAAAATCGTTACTCAATCATTGATTTAAATGCAATTCTTATAATAATTACATAAGTACTTTTAATAAACAAACATAAGTACTTGTTTTATTACAGGGTGTCTCTATATATCTAAGTGCACACCTATATACCATTGTATTGGCCTTTATGAGTATCCAAAACTTTTGTATATAGATAATGTTCACAGCCCAACAGATTCCGAGTTTACGACTTAGGGGTTTAGAGTCAATCTCGACTGATTTTTTCATTTTGAATTTGAAATCATGAATACGCATGATTTACGATTTTCAAATATGATTCTAAAACCTCAGAACAAGGTCTACGTTATGAATATATATGCTAGTTATAATCTGTTTAAGTTTCGAAATAATATGATTTTAAAGTTTGAAAAATTTGAAATTTAAACTTTTTATTTTTAAAAAACCTTAATTATCAAGTTGACGTAACATTGAAGCTTTCTTTAATTTTAGCATATTTTTTTAAGTCATTGAAGCAAAAATTTGGCACAAAATAACATTTGCAGTACTTTATTTTTCTCAAAATCTCCTAAACGTGAACGCTGCAATGTTACGTCAGCTTAAAAAATTAACAGTTTTTAAAAATGAAAAGTTAAAATTTTGAAGTTTTCGAATTTTAAAGTTGTACTATTCCGAAATATAAGCAAATTATAAATAATGTAGATTTTCATGAGAAAGCCTTTATTCTGATGTTTTCAAATCATATTTAATATTTCGCCTGTCAAACAAAAGTACAAAGTTATACTTAAAATTTCAAAATGTAAAAAAATCAGTCGAGATTGATTTTAAGTCGATGTAACTCGGAACGTGTTGAGCTGTGTGAGCATCGCCTCCATACAAAAGTTTTGTCTACTCATGAGGGCCTATACGGTGTATAACAATGCACTTAAATAGGAAACACCCTGTATATGTACTATATGGTTATATTGAAATTGAAATCATTTTCAATAAGAATTTTCTTTGAAAATAAAGATGGTGTTTTTAATTCTACTTAAATTAAAAATATCAAGAGCGAGATAATAACATGTTTGAAATTCCAGCAGATCTTAAAAGAGCATGTATTTTCAACGAACAACACAATCGATGTGCACAAGATATACACCTATTTATTTTTTTATTATTTTGATTTATTTTATTTTCATTTCTTTTTTTAATTTAAATGTTTTTTGAATTACGCAACTCCTACATTGCAGGGACAATTGTCGCCAATTCAAGTTATTCCTACATTTAATATGAATCTTGGTTCTTCAGTCATTCAAGTTTTGCCACAACATTTATCACAACAATCTCAACAACAACATCAACAAATTCAAAATTCGTTGTCTACCCAATCAGTTCAGGAACAATTGCAGCAACATCAGCAACAATCTCAAGCTCATAATATTCCATTACAGCAACAATTTCAACAATTACAAACTCCATTGCAACAAAATTTACAATTACAACAACAAATACAACAGCAACATCAACAAATGCAACAGAAACAACATCAAAGGCATCAATTAGAGCAACAAAAGAAAATATTACAACAACATCAATTACAAAAACAATTACAAAAACAACAACAACTTCAACAGCAATCACAGGAACAGCACCAAATACAGCATCAATATCAATTCCAGTTACAACAACAGCATCACCAAATGAAGCAGCAATTGTTTCAACTCGAAAATCAAAAACAGCAACAACAACAACATCTAGAGCAGGAGCAACAACAGCTGAAACAGTTGCAACATCAAAATCAGCAACAGCACCAAGAGGAGCAGCAACAAGAAATGCAGAAATCAATTCGAGTTGGCATTTTTCAAAATTCAAACAGAAGACACACACTTGATCAAACTCAATTATATTTCAATAATAATGATAATAATAACAATAATGATAATAATAACAATAATGATAATAATAATAATAATAATAATAATAATAGTAATAATAATAAAAATAATAATAATGATAATAATAATAAAAATAATAAAAATAATAAAAATAATAATAATAACAACGATTTTGATAATAAAAATGATATTAGCAATAAGAATATACTAAACATAAATTCTTATAATAATTTACCTCAGTCACAATCAGTCATACCCCCAATAACTTATTCCTCATCTACATTACCAGATTTTAACAGTAATTTAACACTAGCTAAATGTAATTTAGTTCATGGAATTCATCATCAAATCCCACATGTTGCGTCTCCTAAACTTCTAGCTTCAAGATCAGCTTCTGTAGCTAAAATAACTCAAATATGTGATTTTCAAAATGAATTAGCAAAAATTAATTCAAGAAATAATATTTCAAAAAATCAACAGCCATTACAGCAGCAGCAATTACAGCATGAGTCATCACATATTTCACAACAATCTCAACCTGATGACACAAAATCCTCAACATCAGATAATTTACAACAAGGAATTTCTGTTTCTGGGACATTAAGTGACAATGTCACATCAGTAGTTAGCACTTCATCTCCAATAATGTTAATATCAACTGCAACAGTTACATCTGGAACGCCATCTATATTGCAATCTTCCGAAATGAACTTAGCTCCATCGAATCAAGACGCAGCAAGACGTGTTTCAAGATTTAGTGTTAGTCTTGTTAGTGAACAGCAACCAAAAAGTATACTAAAATTATATTTATCAATTAATAATATTAATAATAATCAATTAAATTCAGTTACAGATGCCAACAATATACCGTCACAATGTCAAACATCTAGTGCACTAACAGTCAATAATGCTACTGATACAAACCAGATTATCAGTTGTAAACATACAGTTGATGGGAAATTGCCAACTAATATTGTACCAGCACATGAGTTAAATGAAAAAGGTAGTAACACTGTTATTACCCCAACTGAAGAACAGTCAACACAATATTTTTCTGGCGAAGAAGGTGGTACCAGTATATCAGCTGCAACATCAACATCAGAATTACCGCAGTTAGCACAAGCTGGCGATGGAAATAGTGAGTTAAAATAACAAAAAAAAAATCGCTAACTACAAAATTTAATATAATGTCATAATATCAATTTTTATTAGATTTCGAAGTGATTAAACAAACAAAAGAAGAACTTTTATCTCTCGCTGCCACAAATCCGGCTATGCTTCCTACAATGGTTCAATCTGTAAATGATTATCAAAATATTTCTATTAATAACTTTTATTGAATAAAGTTTCTTTTTATAGGATATCAAACATAATCTTGATACTGTGCGAAATCATTTGTGCAATATCAGATTGGAGACTAATCTTAGACAGACCCTTTTACTATTGTTACAGAGACAGTACATTGAAGAAGAGGAATTACGCTTAAAACATTATGTTGAATTAGAAAAATTCAAAAAGAATCTACCGAAGCCAGGTATATACAAATGAACTTCTAAAATCATTCCAGTTCAATCATAAACTTTACCTTGGAATTTTAAAAATTATGAATAGAAAAATAATTAATTTTAATTATTTTTCTTTTTAGCCAGTTTTATTGTTGATAGTTCCATTATACATAACCCACATAATTTGACATCATCAGTGCTTACGAATACTCAATCCCAAGCGGCGCAAAGCCCTGATCAATCAACGAATCAATTTTATCAGCAGCAGTGCTTAGCTGCAATTCAGCAGCAATCTCAACCATCTGCTGAAAAGCAAGGTTTTGCTTTAACGACAAGTGTATTGTCTTCTTTATCTCAACAGCAACAATTGCAGCAGCAACAACAACCACAAACACAACAAACACAAAAGTCAACTCAGTCATTTATCCATCAAGCTCAACAACAATCTCATCACCTCCAACAACAGTCACAACAGGTGTTAGAAAATGATCAAAATATTGATTCCATCGGTATACAATATTCCTCAACAACACCTTCAATAATTGGAAATCAACAACAACAACAGCAAAACCAGTCTATGCAACAATGACAACAACATTTAATTGCACCAAGTGATAAAAACACAATTGTATCTCCTGGTGGTGTAAATCAATTAGGAGCTAATTATCCTTTTATTTATCATCAACCAGCAACACCGCAACAACAAATTCTTCAAGTACAACCACAACAACAACAGCAACAACAATTGAATATTCAAACATTATTATTATCTACATCTTCAATTTCATCGCAATTGAATACCCCAATTTCAACCTCAACAATAACTGTACCGTGTACTATAAATATAAAACAGCAGAGTCAACAACTTGCTGTTGGACAAACGCATACCAATTTTCAAGGTATACAGTGGTGCTCCTAGAAATTAAGCCACCTGCATCATATTATATGCGATCACTAAACTTGTTTTTAATTACATTAAAGCATTACTATTGTTTCCAAAAATTAGCAATGCAATGAATATAACACCTATCTTACGAAATAAGGTCAATATTTTAATTGGTCAGTTAAATAAACATTGCTTGCTTGCAATAAATATTGCTTGCGTTTAATATTAAAAATTTTAGGTGAAAAAAAATAACAAATAAACTCAAAAAAAATTTTTTTATTGACTGTATAAAAATACTCGTATTCAAACAAAATTTTTTTTTTCACTTAACATTTTTTATATTAAACACATTGTATACAATTTTTCGGAGTATTAAAATCAGTATTCAAGGATGGTTTTGATAATACAATAAATATGTTTTCGCATTTCTAACTTAGAACTTAAATAACTTAGACAACATAATGACTCAGCTGTAAAAACCTACAAATTTGACAGTAGCATAAAAAAAAATTATTTTTTAATTAAAGTAATAACGAAATTTTAACGAAATTTTTTCTAATAAATCTTGTAAATTCGGTAGTATTTTTCTCTAAGTACGAAATAGTTTCCGTAGCAGTAAAATTAAAGCTGAGTTGTTGCGCATATATCTTAAGAATTTTAGCATGCAATCGCAATTATAGAACAAACTGCAAAAATAGTACTGCGTTATAAAACATTTTTTTAACAGCACGTGCAGTACAGGACATATTTAGTACTAAGTTAGAACTGAATTATCGAAAAGGCAGTTATTTCAACTTTCAATGTTATTTGTATTTTTTTGTCGCTATTTGAGTGAACAAATATTTCCCTATTAGAGCTTTGCAGTTTTTTTAATTTTGAAATATTTTCGAAAAGTGGAAGAAAAAATTTTTTAGCAAACATGAATTTATTTCCCTTAATGGTAGCTGTGTTAGAGAAACTCAAACTCAAACTGAAAAATTCAAAACTTGAAAATTTAATACGACGATATTCTCTAAATTCCTTTTAAATTGTTTGTTACGTGTGATTATTTCTTTCGTAGGCTTTTGACACGTATTTTTACTACGAACGTAATTTATGACTATTCTGTTATAATCGGAGAATTTGAATATAAATTTTAGTAATTCGGGATTGACAATATTTCGTTATTTCCCGAATTTCAGGGCTACAAACAAAATTCATGATATGCTTATTTTTAAAGAATACAATAAAATTTATTTTGAATTTTTTTTTTTTTCAAATGTTTTTTAGCTGAAGTATTACCTAAGTCATATGATGACTATAAGCAACAAGAAAAAGAACAATTGGAAAATTCTCAATTACAGTATCAGCAACAGCAGCAACACAAGCAACAACAGCAACAACAACACATTCAAGAGCAACAACACGATAATAATACAGAATTATTATCGAATCACAATGAACAGCAGCATTCAACATTATTCCCACAGTCATTATTATTTACTATATCATCAAATCCTATTACCTCAAAAACAACAACTAGTGTAGTTGATGCTGGGGAAATACCATCAGCAAATGTAAACACAATAGCGCCACCATCATCAACTTCATCTTCATCATCAACCACAGCTGGTAGCATGACAATAGATCGTTCCACTTTTTTTTAGATTAAATTAAAAAATTAAAAATTTGAATTAAAAAATGTAATTTAAGAACTAATAGTTATATAAATATATAGATAACATTTTATATATGAATATACATGTATATTTATTTTATATACGTATATAAAATGTATGCATATGTGCACATAACATTTGTATATATATATATATATATATACACATATATATATATATATATATATATATATATATATATATATATATATATATATATATATATACACATATATATATATATATATATATATATATATATATATTATATATAGGGTGATTCAGTAAAGAGTACAAAATTATATATCATTCTTCAGGGCATCAAAAATGTTCGAATGCCTTGTGTTCCGAAAGTACATAAAATAAAAAATCAAGATATATGTTGCTTTCAAGTCCTTTTACTAACCCTTTCAGAAACTATTAATTTGAAGTCTTTATCTTTTTCAGAAGGGAAGTAATAAGCAAAAAAGCTTGGGCAAGTAAAAATTTCAGTAAAATCCCTGTATCTCGGAAATTGTTGAGTTTTGACAACTAGTTCCAAACAAAAATTTTAGTCATTTTTGATGCCCTAAACAATGATATATAATATTTTCTTTGTAAAACCCTTTACTGAATCACCCTATATATATATACAGGGATATATATATATATAAATATACATATATATATATATATGCATATGCATATATATATATATATATATATATACGCTTACACATGTATGTATATAAAATTTATGAATATATCTAAAAACAAAAACAAAAAAAATATACAAAAATCATAATGATTTTTAATTTATTTATGGATTCGAAAGGAAAAGAAATTTTTTTTTTGTTTTTATATTACATGTTTATATATATGTTTAAATAAATTTGTGTATATATTATTAGTAAATAATTAATTATATTATTAAAAAAATTTGAATTGTAAATTATGTATTACATATTATGAATAAAAAAAATTTGAATTGTAAATTATGTATTACATATTATGAATAAAAAAATTTGAATTGTAAATTATGTATTACATATTATGAATAAAAAAAATTTGAATTGTAAATTATGTATTACATATTATGAATAAAAAAAAATTTGAAACATTGTATTGATGAAAAACAGAAATACAAAAAAAAAGAAGAAAAAATGAAAAAAAAATTTATTAAATATATAAAATATTAAAATAAATAATTATTAAAAAATTAAAATAAAAAATATAAATAAATATTGGAATATTTAGTTAATTAGTGATCTCATAAAAAGTCTAAAAATCACTACATTGACTTTTTAGCTATTTCATTTTCATCTGAAAATTTGAAATCATCTGAAAATTTATATTTGAAATCTAAATTTTCTATTCTAGAATTTTATTTGTTACGACTTATTTTTTTGCAGTACGATTTTCTATTAAAATCCTTAATGATTTTAAGAGTAGCTTCAATTTTCAAAATTTTCTTTCACTGCAGTTATAATTTTTTGAATGTATTACATTTTCACTTTTGATTTGCCAAAAACATACTTTACCGTATGTAAGATAGTAAAGAAAAACGTACTCTTACTCTATGTAAGAGTAGGAGTGACAGCTTGTCCTAATAAGCCGACAGCAAATCCAAAAAAAACTGCCATTTCAATTAATTTTCTATATAAATTTCTATTTGGTTCCGACTGAACGTTTTTTCTTAGCCAACGTGAAAGTAGAACATAATATAGCTTTTTCAAAGCTGTTTTTAATAGCAATGGCCTTTTTTCTAAGAAATTAGAAACACCAAAGGAAGGAGCATCTTGAAAAGACAATGTAGCCAAATTTTTTGTAATTCTCTCTTTTTTTGCTCCGAGCATTATCAAAGTCGTAACTGGAGCGTATTTATTTTATTTTCTTCTCTGGCCTCTACCATAAAATATGTGTAATTTTTAAGATGAGTTAAAATTTTTTTTTATTTTACTAAAGAAAATTTCAAAATATTTTTTCCTTTTTGGATTTACGTGAAAAAAAACAAATATAAGCAAAATTTGTTTTTTTATTAATAACAATATATTAAAAATATAAATAATAATAAATAAAAATACATATAAATTTTAATGATTCTAAAACAGTATAATTTTTAATAAAATTTTAATATGATACTTATTACTCGCTGAAGTAGATGGCATCTTGTCGTATTCGTCCTTATTCATTTCAATTGAGTTTTACATACTAATTCATTTTAAAACAAAATATTTCAGAATATACATAATTTACGCTAACATTTTATTTTACTTACTGAATTCAGCGCCATTGGGAGACGTCTTCATGTATTTTTTGGTAACGAAACCTTCACTCTATAAAGCAAAATATATCTCATTTCATCATTTCTAGGAGAACTGTAATTATCCAAAAGTATCATTTAAAATATTTGTTTGTATGCTACATTTTATCAAACACAAACTCATTTTGCTTAAAAAAAACCCGGTCCTGGTAAAATTATGGCATCCCAAGTAATTTAATTTAAAACAAAACAAAAACATATGTTTTCTTTGCAAAATTAAAAACTTAATAAAATTAGAAATTATGAATTATTCAAAGCACTGTTGAATTAATATTTCTTTTAATTATTGAAATGAATATTTACTTGTATATGGTGTAAAAAAACTATTCACTTGTATATGGTGTAAAAAAACTATTTGTTTTTGCAAATGGGAATAACAATTTCAAACTATACACCTTTTTCTTTTTAAACAGATTTTTTTCTTTTTTTCACTTGTTATAATTTTTTTATAAGTTTTTATTAAATAATATTGTTTTTTTAATTTAACACTGGTATGGCGCGCATTATTTTCAACAATTATGCGCGCCATATTTCAATAAGAAAAGAAACAACAACATTTGGCATTTAATGTAAAATTCAGTTTGACAATGTTAGGAGCAAAGAAAGAGACTTACCTAAAGTTTTTGGCTTCACTATGTTTTTTTAAGGAGTTCCTTTAGTATTTTTAATTCGTTGGCTTTTTTGAATATTCAGCTAACTTAGTTCTAGTTTGAAGTTTGTTTGTTTATTAATAACTGTCTCAACTGCAAAAAAAGTTTGTTAAAAAATTCAAAACTCTTTCCACAGTTGTTTGAATAATGTCTTTATATCTATCAAGTCTCAATCAGTGTTTCCACTCGTTAAAAACAAAATGTATCCAATTTTAAAAACAAAAATGTATCCAAAAGGCATACAAACTCTAAAAGTAGAATTATTGTAGTAAGTTGTCTTATTTTGTACAAATAAACTCATAATTAATATCAATTTGCTTTTTTCAACAATTTGAGTTTTGTTATTTGTTAGCAAATTCCTTAAGAAATCACACGCAACTTCTATTGCATTTTAAATGTAAAAGTAAGATCAGAAAATATATGCAGCTGTTGAACTATGCGGTAAGAATGATTCACCATGGAAGCGGACCACTTATGGTGGAAATTATTAACTTAATTTATTATAACTTAACGGAAAAAAATATGTAGAGCCGATACATTTTCGATTACAACTAGCTTACACCAAAATATCTCTGGTATACGTTCTAGTCTAAATGTTCGAGATTTGAATGCAGGAAGAGGCGGTATTCATTTAGTGAAGTATCTACTTTTTTCTAACAAATTTAGAAATCTGCTTAGTTATGCTAGAATTAGTGCTTAGTAAATCCAGCAAATAACATTTTTTTGAAGATAAAGCAATTTCCCGATTTAATATTAGCAGCACTTTAAAAGTTTTGAAATATTTATTTAGTGTTTGCGAAAGAAATGTATTCCCATTTCCTCAAAATTTTTAATGAAATGTAGCCAATTTCGGCATTCTAACAAATTTGAGTATCTTTGTATGTACGCTTAATTTAAAGCAAAAATGTATCCAAATGGATACAATTGTATCTAAGTGGGATCACTGAGCCCAATACTCAATTTTTCTACGAAGTATTTTGATTTGCCGCATTCGTTCTTGTTTTTTTTTCAATTCCATTGATCGTATGTTATTTCTTATTTTTTTCTTTTTTTACGTAAAAGTTTAAAATATCATCTCAGGACAGGATATTATACACATTTTTTAAAAAGCTTCTAATTTAAATTCTATTGAAAAACAGTATATTAATAATACTATTTAAAAAATATCAACTGTAATTAGACTTATCAGCGGCTCACACAGGCATTGTTTATTAACTTTAAATATTTTTATTTTGTTAACTCTTCATTCTTTTTTTTGTCGATGAAAAATAGTTTGTTGCTTTGAATTTTTCGAATTTTTGTCATATGCTTAAGCGAAAATTTTTTTTTGTCGATTTCCAATAAACTGGCAAGTTGAAATATTTTAGAATATTAGTAAAGTTATTGTATACATTGAAACAGTTATTCCAATATCTCGGTTATTGACCCGAACGTTTAGTTCGGTTAAATTCGGCATTTAAATCACATGTTGTGTGTCAAACTTCAACTGTGGCTAGTAACAAGTTTTTTCGCTTGTTCATTCCAAAGAAGGAATATTAAGCATATAATAAAACTCAATAACAGTTTCATTTCACGTTTTCAGAAAATATTTGGAATTAAAAAAAGGACAGAAATAAAAAGAAAAAATTATCAAATTTCACTTTTCAAATTAATGTGTTTATGTACATACGAAAATAATGCTATGGAATTCATAAAATTCAAAATTTATTGATACTTGACAAGAATTGATTTGGATTTGACGATAGTATCATATCGAATTTAAAACCATCGATAATTTCTAAAGTTGAGAACTATCGATAGTGCCATCGATAATTCTCCATCTCTAATTTCATTATGGTTTCAAATGTTAATGAGGAAGGATGTATGATTTTCCACGTACATTTTGTGTTTTTCAATAAGATAAGTAGTGCGAGTAGTGTCGGCTCACAAAAATGTTAATGAAAGTAGTATAAGTACCATGTTATAGGATTTCAACAATTTGAGCTATTATCTCTATTCTGTTATTTAAAAGATAGAATATTGAAATATTTATTATAGAATTATTTCAAATAATTTCAATCAGTTTTTAAGTGATTAAAATAGATACATATGTGTGTACCCACTTCCAAACAATTTTTTTGTTCATAATTATTTCAAAACTAGTTCAAACATGTTATGTTCAGTGTTGTATATGAAATTTCAAGTAAATCGGTTGAGTATTTTCTTCAAA